TCGCATTTGGGCCTCACGCAAAAGGGGCTGCCCCCTAATCCTCGAATGTAAAGGGGCCCTTCCCACCCCACGTGGCATTCTGTAGCCGGGCCTCCAGCCGCAAGCCCTCGAAGGGAACTGGGCGGCCCTGATCGTCGTCTGGTTTCAATTCGCGATAATCGTATCGTCCCGTTTTTGCAAAATATCGCGATCACCCGTGGGGTTCATTCCGCTTGTTTTGTTGTTGTTGTTGTTGATGTCGTCCGCAACCCTTCCCGCATCCCAACAAAATGTTTCCGAAATAACAGGGCAGGAATTTCATTTTTTTTTTACAATGATAACCTTACGATCTGAAACCGCCGCTCCCCCCCCATCCCTCTCCCCCTCCCATCACGTTCAGCCACGTCCGTAGGACACTTCACGCGAATGCTTTGCAACATTTGATTAGAAGCTTTCGTGACTGCAGGAATCCATACTCTTTGGTTCTTTCGGTAAAGTCACGTGGGTAGAAATAAAATAAAATCACGACGTTTCGATCGCAACACAAGCGGTCATCAGGCCTGAAACGTCGTGATTTATTTTATTCTATTTCTAACCACGTGACTTTACCGAAAGAACCAAAGAGTACACTTTGTAACATGTTTCCCAGAGTAGCTGAGTCACGTGGTGTCTTACGCGATCTCCTAACGTCTTGCGCCATGCAAGACGCGCTCGAGATCGCAAGGTCCCATCGCGGAGAAGACGCCGGGCTTGGGCTGTGCGTCCGGAGATCCGCAGTGGAAATAAAAAACATCGTCGCCTCGGGGTCCATCTCTGTGCACGTGCCGGCGGTGCGTGAAACGCGCCAAGACGGAGACGAAAGCGTGAACGCGCAAGTTGCATTCTACACGGGAACACTGAAGTCGCCCCATAATCGCCACAGCGCGAGATGCAACATCGCATCGGCGCGAGGAGATGGTGTCGCGGCAACCCTGCCAGGGAGGGCATGGAAACGGCCTCCTCCACCCCCTCCCTCCTCCACCCTCCCCTCCTCCTCCACCCTCCCCTCCTCCTCCACCCCTCCCTCCTCCACCCTCCCCTCCTCCTCCACCCTCCCCTCCTCCTCCACCCTCCCCTCCTCCTCCACCCCTCCCTCCTCCACCCTCCCCTCCTCCTCCACCCCCTCTCCTCCTCCTCCTCCACCCCTTCCTCCTCCACCCCTCTCCTCCACCCCCTCTCCTCCACCCCTCCCCTCCTCCTCCACCTCCTCCACCCCCTCCTCCTCCACCCCCTCCTCCTTCACCTCCTCCACCCCCTCTTTTCCTCCTCCTCCTCCATCCGCTCTCCTCCACAACCCCCCTCCACCCTCCCTCCCTCCTCCACACCTCCCCTCCACCTCCTCGCTACCTAATCCTACACATCCCCCTCCTCGTCTTATTACATAATTTGTTGTGTACCTCCTCCAGAGGCCCGCTAGAACGGCCCAGAAGGATCACCGCAGCACAACAGCAAAACAAAACTCAACAGAACAAACGAAACAAAACTCAACAAACTAAACAGACACCGACATACGCACATACGACCGCCGGTTTTGTAGCAGCCGGGCGAATCTCGGTGGTTGCGCGCCGACCTGGTTTCACGCGCGTGAAGACGTCATCGGCACTGCACAAGTGTCTAGAGCTTTCCCATGCCACCCCGGGGGATCGGGCTCAATCTCCGCTCACGCGGTGTAAGGGTTTTTTTTTTTGGGGGGGGGGGGGTTATTTTGGTGATTTTCGATAAGTTTTTTGTTTGCCCATGTTTGTGTTGTTGTAGTACAGAGTTAGACTGATGGCCTTAATCTAAGTTGCCTTGTGTGGTTGTTGTTGTTTGACTTGCATCCTACTGGGATTTTTGCACATTTGTGTGTACGGTGCTTTTTCTGCAATATTTTGCTGTCTTTTCTTGGATTTTCTGTTTGCACTCAAGTCACATATTCGCTTTAAGATGTTTTTTGTTCATTTTTTTGTTTGTTGCGGTTGCACCCGATTCAAGAGCCGAATAGCTCGTGGGTTCGATGCCGATCTTGACGCCTGCTGCTGTATATTTTTAATTTGCGTGTCTCTATCGCTCCCCCCATGGTGAGATGTTAACTACCTCGCCTGGTGTGCAGGAGGTCGTGGGTTCGATCCCAACCCTGACGCCTGCTGCTGCTGTATATTTGGAGTTTGCACGTCTCTCATCATCATCATCATCACGGTGGCTATGAGATGTTAACTCCCTTCGCCTGGTATACAAGAGGTCGTGCGTTCGATCCCGACCCTGACGACGCCGGCTGTATATTTGGAGTTTGCGTTTTCTCTCTCCACGTGGCGAGATGTTAACTACCTCGCCTGGTATACAGGCGGTCGTGGGTTCGATCCCGACCCCGACGCCTGCTGCTGTATATTTGGAGTCTGCGTGTCTCTCTCTCTCTCCCCGTGGTCGCGTGGATTTTTCTTCGGGTCCTCCAGATTTTCCCTCCGCATGTAGAATGAACGTCACCGCGCGTTTAGAGTCTCTGCCCGCTGTAAATGTCGAAGCTGTCACGAAGGAAGCCACTTTGTTGGGCTACCATTTGTGACGGCCGGATCGCTTATGAAATCAAATTGCTGCATAGCTCGGTGGGGCATTACCTCTCAAAATAAAAATTAAAAAGTTTATAGTTTTACAGTTAATGAGCACACGCGCGCACATACTCAGCGGGGCACAACCCGCGATCGCAATCGGAAGAGCTGCTTTACGGACAGCAACAGCAGCATCAGCAGCAGCGGAAAGCTTGCCCAGGACAGACTCGTTACAATTCACATCGGGGCTCACTCACTCGAGTTACCACCGTCCGTAGCAACACTTCTCTCACACGTGACTGACCGTGGCGGGGGGGGGGATAGCGAAGAGTCGGTGAGAACGGGAGAACCTCAGCCCAGCGGTTCTTCGCCTGGAGTGTGAGGCATGGACACAGTTTTTTTTTAAAAGAAGGTAAATCATCGAGAACACAGAAATGATGCACGGGCAACGCGAGCAACGGCCCACTTTGTTTCATCAAACGCTTGAGAACCAAAGGGGGTGCAAAGGCTGCAGCGAAGGTGAAGAACCGCTGGTCTAGAAGCATCATCCAGCAGCATCCCACTGCCTTGTGTGACGATGATGACGATGTATTAATTAACATTAACAGCAGCAAGGCTGCGGTAAAGGTTAAGAACCGCTGCTTTGTGACGAACGCTGCGTAGGGGCGGTGGTGTATGGGGGCGGTGGTGGGGGGAGGTAATGTGATCATGCGTGTTGCCGTGAGATTAACGATACAATTAATTTGTTACAATTAATTTGTTTCGCACCGTACGTAGCCAACCGCGCAGATCGGAGGTGCGGGGGAAGTCGGCACTCCCTTGCGGACAAGGGAGCTCGCCGCCGTCGCCTCCGCACATCTCCGCGGGCACGGCTCGGCTCACGCAGTCGAAAAACTAAACCTGCCACACCTCCCGAGCCACGCCGGCCTGTCTCGGCGTGTCTCGGCGTGGGTCGGGAACCCCCCGGCGCGTCACGGTCCGCGTCAGTGGGGAGGAGGGTGAGAAAAATAAGTACGAGTGGAAGAACCGCGAACACATTGTGCCATCCAACGGTGAACCGCCGACACGCCGAGCGGAACCGAACCGGAACAGAAGCAAACCGGCACAGAACCAAGCAAAGCCAAACCGGAACGGAAGCAACCCGGTTTGGAACCAAAACCGAACGGCGAACGGGGACCTGAGCCGGAACGGAAACAGAATCGAACCGGAACAGAACCGGAACGAGAGCCTAAAAAAAAAAACAAAGAGAGAGGATCATTCGAGCATCGTGTCGCAGGGACCCCCCCCACACCCCCCCCCCCGCCGACAGCCCCCCGCGGCGCGTGTTACATTCAACGACCACGTGACATTCATGTAGCTGTGAAGCACAACGATCCGACGCGCGCCACGCGCAGCCGGTCCGAGTGGTTTAAAAAAAAAAAAACCCCCAAAAAAACGCAAGTTGCCGAATGTTTCACACTTCTTTTTCGGACAGGCAGCTTTCATCCTTTCCTTTCCCGCGATACAAAAATAACCTGCAGCGACTCGCCAACGCTTCCCCCCCCTCCCACCCCGACCTCCCCGACCTCCCACCCCCGCCATGTTCCAAAAATCCGCGCACGCCGGAAACGCTCCCATCGCCGGAGGTCCTGAGCGACCCCCGAAGCGGAACGTCCCAACACCGACGTGAGATCGGTCAGCGCCTTGCTCTGCCAACTCCTGCAGGCACCACGTCTCTCGCCCAACCCCCCTCCCCCCGCCACCTCCCCCCACCTCCCGCCCCCTCCTCCCCCCCATCTACGCGGTGCCACCTCCCATCTCTACGCGATCCACCAACTCCGCGCGCCGTGGCTCCGCATCGGCGAGTCTCGAGCGAACGGAAGCCGGTGGACTCCTCTCGCTCGCTTACCGCTGCTAGAAGACTCGAGGGTGGGGGGAGGGGGGAGGGGGGGTGTGGGGGGGGGGCGGGGTCAGCGCTGAGCCTGACCCTAACACTGACACCAAATCTCAGCCTCCCCTGCCATATACAACAACACTCTCCCCCGAGTCGACCCTACATGAGCCCCTCTCATTGTTTCGGGAGTCGCAAGGGAGGGTGGGGGGGAGAGGGGGGGGTGGGGTCAAGAGGGTCACGAGGTTTAGGCCATGGCCGGCGGCCACATCGGTTGAACCCTAGCGGCTCAATCTGCAGAGGTTTGGACTCTGGGGTCAACGCCGCACGCACGGCCGTGCTTTCGGCGATGCCGCGGGGGGGCGGGGGGGGGGGGGCCGGCGCCTCTCCCCTTGAAGGGCTGCGGCTCTAAATGCACTTGGATTTGATCGTCATCGAAACGAGGGGGGGGGGGGGGGGGAGAGCTGTAAACAAGAGTGGCGCGCCAGCCTCACGCTCTCACGAGCAGCGCGACGCCGTCGACGCGACCGTCAAAACGCCTCCGCCGCAGGACGGGGGGGGGGGGGGGGGGGGGGGGGGTGGGGGGGGGGAAACGTCCCATCTCCGCGAAGCGTCTTGGACGGGGCCACCGGTGCCGCCCCCCCCGCCCACCGCCGCTCCACCGCCACCTCCACCGCCGCCTTCGTCATCTCTCCAGCAGCCGCCGCAGCGCCCGCTCGATGTTCATGCGGTGTCCGACGCGCGTCACGCCCAGCTCCAGCAGGTCGTCCTTGCGCAGCGCCGGCAGGTGCGTGCCGTCGATCTCGTTGTGCAGGAAGCGCTCCCGGTGCTCGCCGAGGTTGAGCGCCTCCAGCCAGTCGGCGACGTCGTGCTTCGACCACAGGTGCAGCGGCTTGCCGGCGAGCAGCACCGGCGGCGGCGGCGCCGGCGAGCCCGGCGACGTCGGCGAGCGGTCGCGGGGAGAGCCGGCGAGCGGCGAGCCCGGCGACGGGGAGCGCGAGCGGAGGTCGAGGGGCGACAGCAGCGCCGCCGGTCGCTCGTCGAACGGGAAGCCCGTGGGGGACGCGCGCCGGGAGCCGCCGCCGCCGCCGGCCGACCCGGGGGCCGCTCGGAGGCCCGGCGAGACCGAGGCGCCGGCGCGGTCCTCGCCGGAGGAGGAGGAGGAGAAGAGGCTGGGAGAGCGGCGGAGGAGCGGGCGGTCGGGGCCGTGCGGCGTGGAGGCCCCAGTGGAGCCCGGGCAGCCCTTGAGCGAGGCGTGCACCACCGGGCGGCTGGAGCCGGGCCGCACCGTGAAGGTGACGCCCTCGCCGCCAAACCTGCCGGGGGGGAGAGGGGAGGGGGGGGGTTTGGTTGTTGTTGATGGAAACTGAAGATTCGTCGGCTCTCTAGTACGCCAACCCTGTCACCTCCACTCGTCCCCCCCCCTCACCCACCTCCCCACACCCCCCCACACCCCCCCCACGTCTCCACACCCCCCCACCTCCCCACACCCCGACCCCCCCACAAACCCACACCCCCCCCCTCACCACTCCCCCCCACGCCCCCCTCCCCCCCACAACCCCCAACCTCCCCCCACCCCCTCACCCCCCCCACCCCCCCCTCACCTCCCCGTGTACCCCTGCGTGGGGCCGTTGCGCCCCGTCATCTGCTGGAGGCGCGAGCTCAGCTCGTTGATGACGCTGGCGCGAGCGTCTGCGTGGCCGGGCGCGGGCAGCAGCCCCGAGGAGGTGGCGGGCCCCGCCGTCGACTCCACGCCCCACAGGCGGCTCCTGCGGACGCCAGCGCCACCCGCCGGCGACGGGAACAAGCGGGGGGGGGGAGAAAGCGGGGCACAGGGAGACGTTAGGCAACGCCAGAGGTCGCAAACGGGTTTTGATTCCTTACCCGGCTACCCGTAACCGGCCGCACCAGGGTCGCAAATGGGTACCCGGCCGGGTACGGGAAGCCGTTCCCTACCCGTACCCTACCCGAAATGAGTGACAAACGGTTACTCACCGGTGACTCACGGCCTACCCGCACCCGTACCCAGCCGCACCAGGGTCGCAAACGGGTACCCGTACCCGGCCGGGTACGGGTACCCGGTTGCGACCTCTGCGCAATGCCGTCGTCGCCGCCGCCACCGCCGCTCGTGGCAAATTCGATGAACTTGGCACCGTTCTGGAGCCGGCGATTTGGGCCATCAACTCGCCACACTCGAGAATCCAGTTTCATTCACAGCCCAAACTGTGGATCTCTATGCGAGTCTGAGGATCTCTATGCGTGTCTATGGGTCTCTGTGAGTCTATGGGTCTCTGAGAGTCTATGGCACTCTGTGCGAGTCCAAGGCTATCCCTGTGAGTCTACGGGTCTCTATGCGAGTCTACGGCTCTCTCTGCGAGTCTATGGGTCTCTGAGAGTCTATAGCACTCTGTGCTCTCCCTGTGAGTCTATGGGTCTCTATGCGAGTCTATGGGTCTCTCTGCGAGTCTATGGGTCTCTGAGAGTCTATAGCACTCTGTGCTCTCCCTGTGAGTCTATGGTCTCTCTGCGAGTCTATGGCTCTCTCTGCGAGTCTACGGGTATCTACGCGAGTCTACGGCTCTCTCTGCGAGTCTACGGGTCTCTGCGTAAGTCGTGGGCGACCCAACTCAGATCATCCGCTCGCCAGACTCGAGAACACCGTTTGATAATTACGGGCTAACGTTTCGGACCACAGCCCCTTTTCACGGCACATAGAGAAAGGATCACTTCCCACAACATCATCTATTTTATTTTCCCCTTTTAAATGCTATTCGGCGGGCCGCGTACGTCTGCATACACGGTGGCGTTACGGACAAAGGTTTGTTTTTTTGCCGCTGTCAGATGTGCTTGTGTGCAACTCAGCAGCAGCAGTCTTTAGTTTGTTGTCCATCCCCCCCCGCCCCCTCGGACCTCCCAACAGCACGGTTGGCTACGTCAAAGGATGCGCTTCGGCGGCCGTCTGGAACGCTCTTCCCTTCCGGTATTAGGAAGCCGCTGGGAGCTGTGGGCGCTTGCAAATCTTCGTTCTCTAGAACTGCTTCTCTCGCCCGCCGTTTGTCGTCCCTTCCCCCACGCCTCCCGGTTGGCGCGCTCTCGTCTTTCCTTCGACGATCACTTTGGGATTCTCATCGCCCGCCCGCCCACGCCGCCACTGCTGCCCCTTCCCGCACAAGCTACCCCCCTCCCGCCCCACGCCGGGGCGAAACGTTGGACGGCCACCGGCATCGACCAATCAACACGGGGGGGGGGGGGGGGGCGGGTAGAGAGAGAGAGAGAGGGAACAGAAAGAAAAAAAAACAACAAAAAAAGCAACAAGCCGCGGTGATGACGACGGTGACGACGACGCACCTGGAGTTCGGAGCGAGCGGCGCAAGCACGGGGTCCCAGGGAGACCTGACGATGCCCGTGAACATCCGCGGAAGAGGCGGCGGAGGCGGCGGTGGAGGAGGAGGAGGCGGTGGTGGCGGTGGTGGCGGTGGTGGCGGCGGTGGCGCTTGCTCCATCTGCTGCTGCTGCTGCTGCACCGCCCCGGGGCTGGGATCGTCGTCCGGGCTCCTCCTGCCGCCCACGTCTGCGTAGAGGCCGCCCGATGACGTCGCCTGCGATTGGTCGAAGCCACGCGGCGTGTCGGGTGACGGCCCGGCAGGGGGAGGGAGGGGGGGGGAGGAGGGGGGGGGGTCAGCGTCATCGTCTAAGCGGGCGAGTAGACGAGTGAGCGAGTGAGCGAGCGAGCGAGCGATCGAGCCAGTTGGCGAATGAACGAATGAGTGAGCGAAATGGTAAGTAGGCGAGTAAGCGAGCGAGCGAATCAGTAAGCCGAGGAGTGACGTGAGTGAGCAAGCGAGAGGGCAGTGAACGAACATCTTGAGTGGGGGGCGAACGAGCGGATGGGCGAGCATGTGAGTGCATGAGCAAGGAGTGAGCGGGCGAACGAGCGTGACGTCACGTGACCTCACGTGAGGTCACGGCAAGGTCACGTGAGGTCACCACGAGGTCACGTGAGGTCGCGGCGAGGTCACGCGAGGTCGCGACGAGGTCACGGGCAGGTCGCGGCGAGGTCACGTGAGGTCACGGCGAGGTCACAGTCAAGTCGCGGCGAGGTCAAGTGAGGTCGCGGCGAGGGTCGCTCGCCTTGAGCTTGGGCTTGGGCGGCACGGGCGGCTTGTCCGCCAGGAGGGGCTGCGCGTCGGCGTGCGAAGCGCAGCCGTCGGGCCCCTCGGAGACGCCGAGGCCCTCCGACGAGACGGTGGAGATGCTGGACACGGTGGACACGGTGCTGGTCGTCTCCAGGTGGTGGTCGCTGCAGCTGCCCTGCGGCGGTCGCGGCGGCGGGCAAAGGGCAGTGGTCACTCGCACGCCCGTCGCACGCAAACTCCAAATATACAGCAGCAGCAGGCGTCAGGGTCGGGATCGAACCCACGACCTCCTGCACACCGGGCGAGGTAGTCAACATCCCACGGCCACCGTGGCCGACGAGCGAACCCACCTCCACGCCCGAGTCCGTGTTGGCGTCGCCGGTGTCGCCGGCGATCTGCGGGGCGGTCGCCGCGAGCGCCAGCTCGAGCTCTTTGGCAGCGGCGTCGCACGCCTCCTCCGTCTTGTCGCCCCGCCCCTCCGCCGGCGTGCCGTCGACGCCGTCGACGCCGCCGCCGTCGTCGTCCGGCAGCTCCGGCTCGGCCTCGTCGTCCGCCACGATCGTCGCGTCATTGCCGTCGTCATCGCCGCCGCCGGGTTTGTCCTGCGGACGCGAAATCGCACGCGGGAGTTGGCGAGGCCGGTGGGATGGGCCCCGTGGGTAGCGGCCCGGCGGTCGGTCGTTGTGGAGGCTCGCGCGGTTCGAGTCCGGCGGCCGCCCTGGTTCACGCTGTGGTTTGTTGTTGTTGTCGTTTTGCCACCACTCAACACGAGCACCGGGGTGGGGGGGGGATATCCCGACATCGACGCCGCAGGGCTTGGATTGGGCTAAGCTGCGCGGTGCGCGCGGAGAAAAATATCCCGCACGACGTCACTCGCAAGCGCGTGACAATCGGCGGTCACGGCCGGCATTTTTTGTTACGTGCATGTAAAGAAACATGTACACATGCGTACGTGTGCGGAATCTCTTTCGCGCCGTACGTTCCTAACCGCGCCGTCGCAGCGCGTACCGACGTTAACCGGTAAGCGGCCAAACCACCACAAAAGCGGCAGCCTCTATCCCCTTAGATTTCCCAATCGTTGAATAATGTACAATGTTAACAACATACTATTAACATTCCTTCCCTTTATTAATGCTTCCCCCTATCCCCTCCCTTTGATGCTGCTAATCCTGCATATTGCACGGGCTTAATATGACTTTAAACCCCCCGCCAAACCTCCTACGCATTTCACAAGTAGTACTAATCGCATATCTGCATTTCCCATAAATATGCAAAAAATCCTCTTGATATGCAAATTCTTTTGTCAAGGCGCTCTTCCCCCTTCATCCCAGCTTAAATAGACGCTCCAAGCCTGGGGTGCCCATTCAGACTCTGTCTTCCCGACAGACCTGTTCTCCACCTGAGGACGGCTGCTTGCGTTGTGGCCGAAACGTCGTGAGAATTATTTTATTATGTTTTACTTTTTTTATTTTATTAAAAAAAAAACTACACAGGGTTTGATGAAACACAGCAAGTTGTGCTCTCGTCGCCCCGTGCCACGTCTCGCACTCCCGGTGAGTGGTGGGTGCACCCCAGGTTAAGAAGAAGAACCGCTGCTCTAGACGCACGCTCGCTGCACATTCTCCCCGCTTAGCAAGAGGAGGAGCGAGGAGACCCACAGCGATCGTGGCCGCCGCCGCCGCCGTTCCGCCCTCATCCTCGGCCGTCCTCGCCGGCCCCTCCGGCACCAGCGTCTCCGTGCTGCCGTGGTCGTCCGCCGCGTCTCCCGAAGCGTCGCCCTCGAAACCGAGCGGGGGCGGCAGGGGGTCGGTGAACACGAAGTCCTCCTCGCCGTCGCTCGGCACGCTCGGCAGGGACTCCAGCGGCAGCCCGGCGGGGCCCGGCGCTCCGCCCGGCGCCCGCGGCTCGTTGCCTCGGGGCGACGCCGCACGGCTGCCGCCCCCGCCGACGACGGCGGCGACGTCTTCGGGCTCCGCGGTGACGTCGCCCGTCTGGAAGCTCGTCTCGAGCACGGCGTTCTCCCGCTGCTGCGGCTGCTGCTGCTGCTGCTGCGGCGTGAGCTTCTCCTCCTGCGAGGAATCCGAGGTCGTCATGCTCTCCAGCCGCTTGATCTTCTCGCGCACGCTGCACTCCTCCGGCGGGGACGCGCCGCCGTCGCCGTCGTCGCCGTCGTCTTCGCCGCCGCCGCCCCGCCCCGCCACCGGCGACACCATGAGCAGCCCGGCGGCGGCTGGAGCCGGTTCTTCGGCGCGGCCGCCCGCCGCCCCGCACGAGCGGGCCTCGATCTCCCGCCGCAGCGTGCCGGGCGTCCCCCAGTTGCCGTCGGGCGCGGCCGACGGCACCCGGGCGTAGCCGCCCTTGATTCCCGGCGAGAAGGCCGGCGGGGAGACGAAAGCGGCGTCGGCACGCCGCGCCGCCGCCGCGAACTCCCGTCCGGGCGTCTCGACGAAGAGCGGCGCCGTCGCCGGGCCGGCCGCGACCGCGTCGCCGCCGTCCGGACGCGTCGCCACGTCTGGCGCGCTGCCGCCGGCCGCGGCGTGCAACACCATCATCATCGTGGCCATCATGGCGCCCTCGTCCACCGAGCGCGACAGCCGCAGGCCGGCCGACGGCGGCACGAGGCGGCGGTCGTCGCCGCGGGTCTCCGTCGACAGGAAGTTGGCGGACGAGCGGCGTTCCTCCAGGAGGTGCGCGCGGTTCGGCGGCGGCGGCGGCGGCGGGGGGCTGACGCCGGCGCCGTCCTGCGAGCCTGCGGGACCGACGCACGCCACCAAAGCCGCCGTCTGCCGTTAGGATGCGGCCACGGACGGCCAAGCGGGCCGGCGGCGCAAAGCTCGTGCACATTTGGGGGGAGTGGGTTGGGGAGGTGGATGGGGGTGGGCTGGGGGTTGGGGTGGGTTGGGGTGGGTTGGGGAGGTGGGTTGGGGGTGGGGGGGGTTGGGGGGGGTTGGGGGGAGGGGGGCACCTCGAGAACCCCTCCCCCACGTGGTGGATCCAATCCTCACCTCTGGCGCCGGCGGGCGACGACGGTGGCGGCGCCGGCGAGACGGAGCGCCGGTCGGGGCTGCCCGCGACGCGGCCCTGCTTCACCAGCGTGCCCTTGCGCCGCGCCGGCTTGGTGGGCGCCAGGTCCGCCGCGTTCACCAGGCCCACGTTGGCGTACGGGTTCTCCGGCGGCGCCTTGCCACGCCGACCGCGCTGCTGCTGCTGCTGCTTGCCGTGCTGCGCCGGCGGTGCCGGCGGCGGCGCGGGCTGTTGCCGCTGCTGCGTCGCCGGGCACCAGGAGGACGAGGAGGAGCCGGACGAGGAGTTCGAAGAGGAGCCGGACGACGAGCTCGACGAGGCGGAGAGAACGGCGGCGGCGCCGGCGGACGCGCAGGAGGCCGGCGCCGGTGCCGGCGGCGGTGCCGGTACCGGCGGCGGCGGCGGCGAGGGCAGCAGCGGGCTGGGCGGGCCGGAGATGCCCGTGGGCACGACGGGCCGGTACGGGAGCTCTTGCAGCAGGATCATGGAGCGGGCCTTGGCGCGCCGCTCGCTCGGGGAGAGGGCCGGCGTGCCGAGGCCCGGGCCCTCCGATAGCTCCGACACTGGGGGAGGAGGAGTGGGGGGGGGGGTGCGGCAGGGCAAAAAAGTTTTCAAACTTTTTTTTTTTTAAATTGCCGATTCTGTACCCGTTGTGTGTGGCGTCAGCGCCGTTGTCAAGGAGCTAGGGTGCAGCAGCTGCTGCTGCTGCTGGTGCAGCTGCTGCTGCTGGCCATGACGAGAGACGTCGTGTCACTGGTCCTCCTCCGTTGAAGGAGCGCAGACCGCAGTGGGTTCACTTTTTGGCCCATCGACTAAAATTGCTCCTGCACCGCCCATAGACTTAACATTGCCCCTAGACTTTACATTGCCCATAGGCTTAGCACCGCCCATCAGCTTAGCACCGCCCATAGACTGAACATTGCCATGGACTGAACATTGCCCATAGACTGAACATTGCCCATAGATTGAACATTGCCCATAGACTGAACATTGCCCATAGACTATTCTCATTCTTGCATATGGCCCAAGTGTTCAGGGGGATAAATGCCCAATGTCGAGGTCTGCTGCTGCTGCCACGAGACAGAGTGAGACAGAGATACAGAGAGAGACACAGAGACAGGGAGACAGAGAGACAGAGGCAGAGAGAGACAGAGAGACAGAGAGAGAGACAGAGAGACAGAGAAAGAGAGACAGAGAAAGAGAGACAGAGAGAGACACACAGAGACAGAGAGACAGACAGATACAGAGATACAGAAACAGAGAGAGACACACAGAGACAGAGAGACAGAGACAGAGAGACAGAGAGAGAGACAGAGACAGAGAGACACCGAGAGACAGACAGAGACAAAGAGACAGACAGAGACAGACAGAGATAGACAGACAGAGAGACAAAGAGAGACACAGAGGCAGAGAGACAGAGAGACAAAGAGAGACACACAGACAGGCAGAGAGAGACGCCCCACCCCACCCCGCCCCCCGCAATTTCCACAGTGCTCACCGGACGACGCGGCGCCAACGCCACCACCGCCGCCCAGCCCGCCCAGCCCGCCCAGCCCGTGCAGCTTCGCCTCGGCGTTGGGGTTGAAGCTGGAGCGCACGCCGCCTTCCCCCCACGGCAGCGGCGGCCGCGCGACCACGGCGGCGTGCGCCGGCGGTGGCGGCGGCGTGAACGCTGGCGGGGGAGCATTGCCCTCCGAGGGCGTGGGGGACGGCGGTTCCGGTGGCGGCGGCGGCGGCACCGGCGAGGTCGGCGGGGCGGGAGGCGCCGCGCCCGGCTCGTCGGACGAGTCCGGCATGGAGACGCTGCGGGTGAAGCGCAGCGCCGGCGGCGCCAGGAGCCCCTTGCGGTCGTCGTAGTGGCCTGGGGGGGGGGGGGGACGTGAGCCGATCGGCCGAGGATTGTACGGGCGAGCGGGGTGAGGGTGGTGGGGGAGGGGTGAGGGCGGCGAGCGGTGAGGGGTGAGTGTGGTCGGGGTGAGCGCGGCGGTGGGTCAATGAAAGCTGAGCGTGTGACGGGGGTTGTTTGGTGAACGTCGCGGGGAGGAGAGAGGTGGTGAGCGTGGTGAGTGAGCGTGGCAAGAGAGCGAGCGCGGCGAGTGAGCGAGACGAGTGAGCGAGTGTGGTGTGCGCGGCGAGTGAGCGCAGTGAGTGAGAGTGGTGAGCGCGGCGGGTGAGGGTGAGTGAGTATGGCGAGTGAGCGAGTGTGCGAATGAGCGAGTGTGCGTGGCGAGTGAGCGAGTGTGCGAGTGAGCGAGTGTGCGTGGCGAGTGTGTGAGTGAGCGAGTGAGCGTGGCGGGTGAGCGAGTGAGCGAGTGTGCGAGCGAGTGTGCGAGCGAGTGAGCGAGTGTGAGCATGGCGAGTGTGCGAGTGAGCGAGTGAGCGAGTGTGCGTGGCGAGTGAGCGAGTGTGCGAGTGAGCGAGTGTGCGAATGAGCGAGTGTGCGTGGCGAGTGAGCGAGTGTGCGAGTGAGCGAGTGTGCGTGGCGAGTGTGTGAGTGAGCGAGTGAGCATGGCGGGTGAGCGAGTGAGCGAGTGAGCGAGTGAGTGAGCGAGTGTGAACGTGGCGAGTGTGCAAGTGAGCGAGTGTGTGCTGAGCGTGGTGAGCGAGTGTGCGAGTGTGTGGGCCTCACTGCTCGACTGCTGCCGTGAGAGGGGTCCGCGCTGGACGGGGATCGTCGGCCGCTCGGCCAGCGAGGACGGGGACCGTGGCGCGGCCGCCACCCCCTGCCGCTCAAACAGGGCCTGGCGTGGGGCAGAGACAAAGGTCCCCCGTGTAGCCTCGGAGACAAGACCGTTGTGTCGCCGAGTGCTGTTGGCGTGCGCGCGGGGTCAAGGCCGGGCGCCTTAACCCCGCGCCGTATTCCCAGCGCCAATGTTTACATCTTTCGCGCGCGTCTTATCGCGATCTCGCTGTGCGTGTACGTGTGTGTCTACGCGTGCGTGCGTGTATGTGCGTGTGTGCGTGTCTACATCTACGTGCGTGTAGGTGTGTGCGTGTAGGTGTGTGCGTGCGTGTAAGTGTGTGTGTGCGTGCGTGTAGGTGTGTGCGTGCATGTAGGTGTGTGCATGCGTGCGTGTAGGTGTGCGTGTGTGTCTACGCGTGCGTACGCGTAGGTATGTGTGTGTGTCTACGCGTGCGTGTAGGTGCGTGTAGGTGTGTGTGTGTCTACGTGTATGTCTACGTGTGTGTGTGTCTACGTGTGCGTGTCTCACGGCGATCTCTGCGTGCGTGATGCGTCTGCTGGTGTGCGTGTAGGTGTGCGTGTAGGTGTATGTGTAGGTGTGTGTGTGTGTGTCTACGTGTAGGTGTGTGTGTGTGTCTACGTGTGTGTGCGTGTAGGTGTGTGTGTGTGCGTGTCTCACGGCGATCTCTGCGTGTGTGATCCGTCTGCTGGTGTGCGTGTAGGTGTGTGTGTAGGTGTGTGTGCGTGTCTACACGTGCGTGTGTGTGCGTGTCTCACGGCGATCTCTGCGTGCGTGATGCGCCTGCTGGTGGGCCGCTGCCTCACGGTGGCGGCCCGTGAGTCGGCCTCCGCGTTCTCCGAGCCGATGGTGCGGTCCACGGCCGCCAGCATCTCGTCCAGCTTCTCTGTGGGACGGCGGTGGCGGTGGCAATGTTAGTGGCGGTGGTGGTTGTGGCAATGTTAGTGGCGGTGGTTGTGGTGGCAATGTTAGTGGGGGTGGTGGTGGCAATGTTAGTGGTGGTGGTGGTGGCAATGTTAGTGGGGGTGGTGGTGGTGGCGGTGGTGGTGGCAATGTTAGTGGGGGTGGTGGTGGTGGCGGTGGCGGTGGCAATGTTAGTGGGGGTGGTGGCGGTGGTGGTGGCAATGTTAGTGGGGGTGGTGGTGGTGGCGGCAATGTTAGTGGGGGTGGTGGCGGTGGTGGTGGCAATGTTAGTGGGGGTGGTGGTGGTGGCAATGTTAGTGGGGGTGGTGGTGGCAATGTTAGTAGTGGTGGTTGTGGTGGCAATGTTAGTGGCGGTGGTGGTGGTGGCAATGTTAGTGGTGGTGGTGGCAATGTTAGTGGGGGTGGTGGTGGCAATGTTAGTGGTGGTGGTTGTGGTGGCAATGTTAGTGGCGGTGGTGGTGGCAATGTTAGTGGTGGTGGTGGCAATGTTAGTGGGGGTGGTGGTGGCAATGTTAGTGGTGGCGGTGGTGGTGGCAATGTTAGTGGGGGTGGTAGTGGCGGTGGTGGTGGTGGCAATGTTAGTGGCGGTGGTGGTGGTTGTGGTTGTGGCAATGTCAGTGGTGGCGGTGGCAATGTTAGTGGCGGTGGTGGTGGTTGTGGCAATGTTAGTGGTGGTGGCAATGTTAGTGGGAGTGGTGGTGGTTGTCATGATGATTATGGTGGTGGTGGTGTCAATGTTAGTGGTGGTTGTTGTCATGATGATTATGGTGGTGGTGGGGGGTGGGTCAGGTGATAGAAAGGGTTTAACAGACGGAATCATTGACAACGACAAAGATCCCCCGTATAGCCTTAACAGACTGTCGGGGCAAGTGCTGTTAAGCGAGCAGCACCTATTAATGAACGACACACACACACACACACGGCAAAAAAAAACCACCGTGACTTACAGCCACTTGTCAATCCACTCCTTTTCGGTGACATCGGGGGCTATTTCACCATACTTCACCGTACTGGTCAGTGCGAGTTGATAAAGGTTCCGGGAGTGGGGGGCGGGGCGGGGGGGTCAGGGGTCGGAGGTCGAAGCAGTTCAGTTGCCCTCCTCCACCGATGGGTCGAGCCGGTGGTGGTTAACCGGCGAAGTGGTTAACTGGCAAATTGGTTAACCACCACCCTAGTGAGTAGGTCACTATACACTACACTACACTGCACACTACACTCTACACCATACACTACACTATACACTACACTATACACCACACTACACACTACTAGTAACTAATTGGCGTTTTGTCTACGTGACAAATCCCTTCCCAATTGGCTGTGTCGGGTGGTGGAGGGTTACGACGCAGCATTTATACCTACGCGATCTAACCCACCAAAACCTTGATTATGAAACACGGATAGATCACTCGGGCGGGGGCCGGGGGGGGGCGGGAGGGGAGCAGGGGGGGGGCGGGGGGGGCGGCGGGGGGCGTGGAGCAGGGGGGGGTGCAAACTCACCCGGCTCAACAATCCTCCTGTCGGCTGCGGCGTGGAACACACAACAAGGAAAGAGAAATAACGCAGAGCACGGAGAACGAATGTCTGCGGGTCTCTGTGGGTTTCTGTGGGTCTCTGTGGGTTTCTGAGGGTCTCTGTGGGTTTCTGAGGGTCTCTGTGGGTCTCTGTGTGTTTCTGTGGGTCTCTGTGGGTCTCTGTGGGGTTTTGTGGGGTTCTGTGGGTCTCTGTGGGGTTTTGTGGGGTTCTGTGGGTGTCTGTAGGTTTCTGTGGGTCTCTGTGGGGTCTCTGTGGGTCTCTGTGGGGTTTCTGTGGATTTATGTGGGTTTCTGTGGGTTTTTTTGGATTTCTGTGGGTCTCTGTGGGTCTCTGTGGGGTTTTGTGGGGTTCTGTGGGTGTCTGTAGGTTTCTGTGGGTCTCTGTGGGGTCTCTGTGGGTCTATGTGGGTCTCTGTGGGGTTTTGTGGGTTTCTGTGGGTTTCTGTGGGGTTTTTTGGGTTTCTGTGGGTCTCTGTGTGTTTCTGTGGGGTTTTGTGGGTCTCTGTGGGGTTTTGTGGGTCTCTGTGGGATTTCATGGGTTTCTGTGGGTCTCTGTGTTTCTGTGGGGTTTTGTGGGTCTCTGTGGGTCTCTGTGGGGTTTTGTGGGTCTCTGTGGGTCTCAGTGGGTCTCTGTGGGATTTCATGGGTTTCTGTGGGTCTATGTGGGTCTCTGTGGGATTTCATGGGTTTCTGTGGGTCTCTGTGGGTCTCTGTGAGTCTCCATGGTTCACTTCCGATATTCTGAAGCCACTTGGAGCTGTGCACTTTTAAATGACCTGTCTAGGCCAGGGGTCGGCAACCAAAATAACAAGAAGAGCCATTTTTTTCCAATTCGGTACAAAATTCAGTATTTCAAGAGCCGCAATGCATCTGAGTACATACTGTACATACGTACATATCGTCAAGAAGCAGCCCGTAAAGAGCCGCATGCGGCTCCGGAGCCGTAGGTTGCCGACCCCTGGTCTAGGCTGACAAAGTCACTTCTCTAGAACTGCATTGAGTGTTTGGTTTGATGTCCTTCCCCCCCCCACCCCCGGCACATCGACGTACGCACTTATGTAAGTCACCATGGACGCGTAACGAAGACGCGCACTTTCGATTTAAAGCTTTCGTGACTGCAGGGATTCATCTTCTTGGTTCTTTCGGTAAAGTCCCGTAGAATGGAAATAATAAAATAATAAAAATAAAACATAAAAAAATATTCTCACGACGTTTCGGCCACAACGCAAGCAGCCGTCCTCAGGTGGAGAACAGGTCTGTCGAGAAGACAGAGTCTGAATGACACGCCCCAGGCTTGGAGCGTCTATTTAAGCTTAAATAGACGCTCCAAGCCTGGGGTGTCAAGCCTATTATTTTCACACGTTCAAACAAACATGCTTTTGGCGTTGTTCTCCGGTCTGACACTGGTGGTGAGACTGGGCCCTAAAGAAGGCTGCTGCTGTGTCTGGTGTAGGCCAATCGGTGTCAAAGACAATGCCCCCATGTGTTATTATCAGAGCCCATGTTCTGTTTGCATGTACACCACAAATAACGTGGTTAATGGAGTACTTAATTCCTTGGTAAAATGTATTTATTTTGGCGTTTGAACATCTTGATACAAACATACTCTTTGGTTCTTTCTTGGTTAAGTCACGTAGGTAGAAAAATAAAATAAAATAAAACAAAAAATAATTGTTTTATTTTATTTTTCTACCTACATGACTTTACCGAAAGAACCAAAGAGTATGGATTCCTGCAGTCACGAAAGCTTCAAATCAAGATATTTTCACAACTCCTGTTTCATTTCCAGAAAGCAGTAAAACCCCATTCTTATTGTTCATACTTTGATCCTGGCAAAAAGGCTTAGGTGATAAAAGTAAAAAAAAAAATTCCCACAGCCAATCAGCCCCGCGGCCTTCTGGGAGGGCGCGATTCCAGCAGCGTTGACTCGGCACAAGCTTGGAGAGAGCTGGATGTAGTTCAAAAGTCCTCGCGACCAAACACCTCTTTGGGGAGAGACCCAACGCAGAAGATCTCCCCCTGGGGTTTGATCTCCTGTGAAGCTGCTCACGGTCCACCCCTAAAAACCCGCATCCGCTGCACAAACCATGGCAGCCAGCGGCAGCAGATGCGGACGATACCTGATGGAGTGCCAGCAAGTTGTGAAACCCCATTCTTATTTTTCATACGTGCCGATGATGATCAAGACGACGACGACCATCGGGGCGATGACAAAATGCCCTCCCGCTCCCCCTGTCTCATCTCGCTTCTCTCGCCACGCTGTCCCACCCCGTTCTCTACCCCCCCACCCCCAGTCTCCAGCGGTCCCTCTCCGCGCCTCCCTCGCCACCCTGCTGCGCCCCAGTCGCACTCTGTCGCTCGTCCTCCCATCTCGCTACCCTGCGCCTGGAGCCAATTCTCCCCACCGCAGCGCGCAAGACGACGGCCCTTTTCACTGATTTGACGACTCGACTATTTAAGTCATTTTTTTACTGGTAGGAACCTCCTGGTTACACCAGCCCACAAGGGATTATTGTGTCCGTCCGTGCGTCCGTCGTGCAGGGAGGGGCTGGGTAGGGAGGGAGGGGCTGGGTGGGGTGGGGAGGGTGGGGCTGGGTCTGGGGTGGGAGGGGTAGGGCTGGGTGGGGAGGGGCTGGTCACCCCGTGGTGCCCTTTTAAAACTCAACGTTTAACCTACTCACGCCGGCTTGTGCCCGCCCTCACAGTCGGGCATATTTGCGGAATACACCACGCCGCCGTTGACCCTGGCCATTTACCGAGCAACCCGACGTTCCTACCAGCTCCCTCCGCAGGAGGAATGTGTTTATTTGTTCGCCAGGTGAGGCCCCACTGGGCTGCTGCTATTTTTTCGGAAGCGACCCGGCTTTACCGTCGTCACGTGGAATTGTCTAGCGGAGAAAAATCCTCTAAGCGGAGAAAAATCCACGCGACCAACATTGGGGAGAGAGAGAGAGAGATGCAAACTCCAAATTTACAGCAGCAGGCGTCAGGGTCAGGATCGAAGCCACGACCTCCTGCATTCCAGGCGAGGTAGTTAACATCTCCTAGCCACCGCTCCTTCTTGAAAACAACCCACATCTCCTGCCGAGCCCATACTGCTGTCGCTACAATCCACCGTTTAAAAATCAAATTTTTTTTGTATCATCGCTGACAAGCGTGGGACAGGAGTCGTGAAGATGGAAACGCATCCTGACGACCAATCTGACGAAGAATTAGGATTTATCACTCGCAGATCGTCCAGCAACACAAACGTCTCCCCCTACACCCACATCACTCACGCCTGTATATATATAACAACAACAACCGCCACTCGCCACTAAGTGGCGGTGACGCCACCACGGCGCTTGTGCCAGGCTAGGTGCACGTTGCGGCCACGTGAAGCGTCGAACGCCCGCCGGCAGGAGGTCACGGGGGCAGACCCAGCAGTTGCCGTGGGTCGACCAACTAAGATGACTGGCCAATGCACCACCTGTGCCCCCCTACTGTGCCAAAGCGTATATTAGAAACGCATGAACCTTATCACGCACGTAACGACTGACATCCTCCCGTCCGTGAGCGAACAATTTCCATTCGATTTGCACTCATCCTAACATCACCCCTGAAATTTCACATATATGCACGCATCCCAATGCACGTGGCTTTGGGCATTTGAAACCACAATCGGCTTACTTGATGCGTCGTTACAGCCCTAGCGAGCAGAACGATGACGATGATGCCCGCTACGATGGTTACAATCACGTCAAGGCGCGTAAAGCAACACGCGGACTCCCTGTCACCCTCGCAGCAGCAGCGGCGGCCTTTGGCTGAGCAATCGAACAAAAGGCGGCGGCGTCAAGCACGCGCTTTTTCAGCGGCCGTCTGGAACGCGCTCTTCCTCCGTCACGACATCAGGAAGCGATTTTAAATCATCCGGATTGAAAACCGATTTTCATTTTTGAAAAAGATGCTTTTCGTCGCTTAAGTTTGTCGTCCTTAACCCCGCGCCTCCGATGAGCCGCGGTCGGCTACGCGCGGCGCGACACAAGTTCAACGCGTACGTACGTAGGACGATGGCGACCCCCCGGGAGACGAAGCTTAAACGTCAACAGCCAAAAAAATAAATCCTGAACTCCCCCCCCCTCCACACTTGCCAGGACGTGCACCCCCCCCCGACCCCCCTTCCCCCCACCCCTCCCCCACCCCCGTCGAGGCCTTACCCAGCTCCTCGAGCTCCGCCGTCATAGACTTGGAGCGCATGGAGAGCGCCGTGGTCGGGGCGCGCTTTGGAGGCGTGGGGGCTACGCGGCGGAGTAGCAGCAGCAGCGGGGCCGGACGCGGGCGGCGACGGGGGCGTGCGTGTGTCCGGTGTGTCCGTGCGTGTGTGTCCGTGCGTGTGTGTCCGTGCGTGTGTGTCCGTGCGTGTGGTGTCCGTGCTGTGTGGTATGTCCGTGTGTCGTGCGTGTGTGTCCGTGCGTGTGTGTCCGTGCGTGTGTGTCCGTGCGTGTGTGTCCGTGCGTGTGTGTCCGTGCGTGTGTGTCCGTGCGTGTGTGTCCGTGCGTGTGTGTCCGTGCGTGTGCATGGTGCGCACGTGTGTTTGCATGTGCGCGCGTGTGTTCATGTGTGTGCGTGCGCGCGCGTGTGCGTGCGTGTGTTCATGTGCGTGCGTACGCGTGCGTGCGAGCACATGTGTGTGCAAGTACGTGCGTATGCGTGCGCGCGAGCACACGTGCGTGCGTGCGTGTACGCGTGTGCGTGTAAGGATTGAAAGGCGGTGGGGTGAGAAGCAAAGCAATGGATCACGTTTGTTGTCGGGAGGAAGAAGGAGGAAGGAGGAGGGAGGGGGGGGTGAGGTGGAACGCGGAATCGGGGGGGGAGGAAGAGGATACGGAGGAGAGAATTTGTGAAGTGAGATGCAGGTCGTGATTGACGGTGGAGAGAGGCGAGGAGGAGAGAGAGTGGTAGGGGAGAGGGGGGGGTGGTGCGGGGGGGGGGGGCGATGTGCGATGTGCGATGGGAGAGCGAGAGAGACGTTGCAGCCAAGAGACGGGAGAGTGGCGTGGAAAGACAGCGGGGTGGAGACGGAGGTGGTGGCGGTGGCGGTGGTGGTGGTGGAGACGGAGGTGGTGGCGGTGGTGGTGGTGGTGGTGGAGACGGAGGTGGTGGTGGCGGTGGTGGTGATGATCGAGCGGAGGCGATGTGCGAGGGCGGAACGGGAAGACAAGGAGACAAACAGACAGACAGATGCAAAGAGACAGACAGATGCACGGCGTTAGCTTCTGGGAGGGGGGGGGGGGTGGTCCAGAACAGATGAAGCAAACACAGCACGCTCTAGATTTGAAGCTTTCGTGACTGCAAGGTTTCATACTCTTAGGTTTTTTTTTTATTCGGGCTACCATCAAAGGTTTGTACGCGAAGCCATCCAGATATACAAACAGAGACATAACTTCAACCGTGATGATGGGTACAAACTGAGTAATCATTGGAAAGATGTTATTAACCATGTAAAACAGATTTAACTGCACATATTTGCACCATCTTATTTGACAGGTGCTATTCTACTTTCCCCAGCGTTTAACAGTACAGCTTTCGATAATTGTTTTTTTACCCTTCTATCTGGCAACAAAACTGACACCTTTTTTACAAGAAGTCATGTTTACATAGACCACAATACCTGCAGTCGTAATGCAAACAAAAAACATAACTCTGATAATGTATGCACTGTCCTTGAAGTTGATTGGTCCACACCCGAGACAGCTTTCCTTAGAGCCCAGTCTCACATGGTGTTGGACCAGATGACGCCAAAAGGAGCACAACTCAAAGACAAAGCACCATCAGAGTATGAGAGCTCGGGGTAAGAAAAAAAAGGTGTCAGTTTTGTTTCCAGATAGAAGGGTAAAAAACCAATTATCATATTTTTTACTGGCGAATGAGGTTCCAATGGAGTACTGCTTTCTTTTATGTTGATTATCAGCTAACACTGGCCACAACCCCGAGTCGATGTGCACCTATTGTTTTCTTTTAGCCCCGCCCACCCCCCCCCAACACGTTCCACTCATTGGCTACCACATTCAGATAAGCCCCTCCCCCTCAACTTGTATTTAAGAGCTCGTCTCTTGGAGTTTTGCCTCACTTACAGTAAATTTTAGCTGTGACGGTCCCACCTGATGACTTTCGTTGCCTCGTCGTGATTTATTATTTTATTTCTATTATTATTATTATTTATTATTTATTTTTACCTACGTGACTTTACCGAAAAAACCTAAGAGTATAAACACAGCACACACATTTTCGCTCAGCGCTCATCACCACAGCGACAGGCAACATCGACGTCACGCACTCCCCCATTGTCGCACAAAATAAACCGCGGCCAAGGCATAGATCCCCCGTGTAGCATTAACAGAAGGTCGGGGCAAGTGCTGTTAGCGAGCCGCATTCACTCACTCACACTCCGGTGGTGAGATGCTGACTACCTCGCCTGGTACGCAGGAGGTCGTGGGTTCGATCCCGACCCTGACGCCTGCTGCTGTGTATTTGGAGTTTGCGTGTCACATCGTCATCACGGTGGCTAGGAGATGTTAACTACCTCGCTTGGTACACAGGAGGTCGTGGGTTCGATCCCGACCCTAACGCCTGCTGCTGTGTGTTTGGAGTTTGCGTGTCTCATCATCATCATCATCACGATGGCTAGGAGATGTTAACTACCTCGCTTGGTACGCAGGAGGTCGTGGGTTCGATCCTGACCCTGACGCCTGCTGCTGTATATTTGGAGTTTGTGTGTCTCATCATCATCACGGTTGCTAGGAGATGTTAACTACATCGCCTGGTGCACAGGAGGTCATGGGGTCAATCCCCACCCTGACGCCTGCTGCTGTGTATTTGGAGTTTGCGTCTCTCTCTCCCCGTGGTCGCGAGGATTTGTTTTTTCTCCGGGTCCTCCGTTTATTTCCCTCCACATTTAGAAACATGGCGTTGAGATTATTTGGTTCAATAAATGACCAAATGACGGGGCCACTTTGTTGAGCGGCTATCATTTGTGGTGGCCAGGTCGCTTCTGAAAAAACAAGTTAATAACCTCGTTGGGCATTTGCCTGGTAGCATGGGGATGGTTTAGTTCTATGAGCATGTGTCTGGGTGATTTGTTTAGCCGTCTTGTACTTTGCACGACTGTCGCGTTTTTGTACCGATTGTTGCTGTAACGAAACAGGTGGACTTCTACACAAATCTGGCTGTCGCCTGATGAAGCTGGTTGTAATTACTGGCGAAATGTCGTACTCAGATTGTAAATGTTGTGGCTTGGCTCTCCAACACACAACCGGCATGCTGTACTAGTATACTACACTATACACTATACTATTATACACTACACTATACACTACACTATACACTAGTGCTGTATTAGTGCTCTACTAGTATACTACACTATACACTACTATACACTACACTATACACTACTATACTCTATACACTACACTATACACTACACTATACACTACTATACTCTATACACTACTATAAACTACACTATACACTACACTATACACTACTATACACTACACACTACACTACACTATACACTACACACTAGTGCTGTACTCGAGACGAATTGGCCACGTTCTGTTTACGTGACAACCCTCACTAGTTGGCTGTGTCGGGCGGTGGCGGGTTTAACGACACATTTATATATTTACGCGATCTAACCCAAAACTTCTCTATTATGGATGATAGTGGTCGCGAAAGCCTCCTACGTGTTAAACTGATTCTTACTCCGACCCCCCCTCACTGGACACCCGTGAGAGAAAGAGTTTCATAGCTTATCGGAGTCCTCCTGCAGTATAAATAAAGATTCTGATTCTGGTGGCATTGGCCAATTCGTTCCGAATCGTAGAGATGATTATTTAGATGATTGGTCCACACCCGAGACAGCTTTCCTTAGAGCCCAGTCTCACATGGTGTTGGACCAGATGACGCCAAAAGGCGCACAACTCAAAGACAATGCACCATCAGAGTATGAGAGCTCGGGGTAAGCATTTACACCATTGGAACCTCATTTGCCAGTAAAAATATGATAATTGTGTTTTTACCCTTTTATCTGGCAACAAAACTGACACCTTTTTTACGAGGAGTCATGTTTGCATAGACCACAATACCTGCAGTCATAATGCAAACAAAAAACATAACTCTGATAATGTATGCACTTTCCTTGAAGTTGATTGGTCCACACCCGAGACAGCTTTCCTTAGAGCCTAGTCTCACATGGTGTTGGACCAGATGACACCAAAAGGCGCACAACTCAAAGACAATGCACCATCAGAGTATGAGAGCTCGGGGTAAGCATTGACACCATTGGTACCTCATTTGGCAGTAAAAAATATGATAATTGTTTTTTTTACCCTTTTATCTGGCAACAAAACTGACACCTTTTTTTACGAGGAGTCATGCTTGCATAAACCACAATACCTGCAGTTATAATGCAAACAAAAAACATAACTCTGATAATGTATGCACTGGCAAATGAGGTTCCAATGGTGTGAGAAGATCATTTAGATGATCATAAATAAACACAAAATAAAAAGAGCCTGTACACCACGGGCGTGCCACGTAACAGTGACGCACAACAATTATACTAAATATACTAATCACAATTATGTTTGAAAATTGCTCGTAGAATCAGGAGACTTACTTTACGATCAGGATCTGAGTTAGATGCCGGGGAGTGCCGCGGGGGGCGGGGCCCTTGCGTTACTTGGGGTGCTTATTCCTTTTTTTAAATCCTTTATATTAAGTTCACTTGCTTGCTTGCTTGCGCGCTTACGACCGTGCAAATCTTTCGGTCGTTTTTTAACCCACTTCCCGTGATCCAATCGAGCTGACATTTTGCACACAGACTCGTTGTGCGTGACAATTTATTTTCGTGAAAAACTTTTTTCTAAATTTTACACTTTTTAGGAAAAAAATAATTATATTTAATTACCAATTGCTTAATGGTGGCAGGCAATCATCTGACCCATAGGTGGCAGCCATCTCAAGCCAGAGGACGAGAGCACTCTAGCCGCAACGCATATAAAGGATTTATAGTGAAAAACTTTGTTTTTACGGGTTATTTTTGTTTGCCGAGTCTGCCCGTGCCTTCTCTGTGCGCCGGTTGGTTTGGCTTTTCAGCGTCCGACTGCTACACAGCAAGGACGTCTCAAGAGCCCGCGGCCCCCGCTCATACGCGATCATCCCCCGCCCCACCCACCCACCCACCCACCGACCCCCCACCCCCCCACCCCACCGATCTGTACTCACGCTCCGTGCGGCTCGTACTTTCGCAACACGCACGGGGCGGGAAGCGAGGAGTCTTATTCGCCGCATCACGCGAAGAACGACGGAAGCGACGGCGTGTGACTCCGGCTCATGCGCGAGAAACGAGTCCCAAAATTTCGAGCCTTCTAGTGAGGGCCCCCCCCCACCCCACCCTCCCACCCCACCCCCCCCTACCCCACACACACCGTGAGGGCCCTCAGCCCGCACCCCCCCCCCCCCCCCCCCGGTGTTGGCCGTACCTTTCCTGCGGGCGGCCTCGGCGTTCTCGGGCCTCCTGTTCACCGTCACCACCTTGAGCGCCAGGCTGTTGCCTCCGTGCCGGATCATCTGCACCACGTGGCGGTGGCCGGCCTTCACCACGTTCTCCCCGTTCACCTGGCACGCACGCACGCCGCAGGGTGGCAGGGTGGGACGCGGTGAGCAGGGTGGCACGCACGCGGCAGGGTGGCAGGGTGACACGCAGGTGAGGAGGGTGGCACGCACGCGGCAGGGTGGCAGGGTGACACGCAGGTGAGGAGGGCGGCACGCGGTGAGGAGGGCGGTTACGGATTGGGGGGGGGACCCTATTACATAAAAGAAAGAAGACAAAAATCCCCCCCCCCCGCCCCCATAGCCGGTAACAGACTGCTGCTGGGGCAAGCGCTCTGAGAGTAGCTGGCAGCTATGAAGGCCGTCGGCACCGGCGTTGGCCGTGAACGGGAATCCAACTCGGGTCGCCGGGTTCGTAAGCGCGGCGGCGAGGCTGATCGCTGTGCCACCGCCCCCCGTACGTGCACGCACGCACGCACACACGCGCACGCACACACACACACGCACGCACACGCACACACACACACACGCACACACACACGCTCGCACACACACACACACACGCACGCACGCACACACACGCACGCACACACACACGCACGCACGCACGTGCACACACGCTCACGCACACGCACGCACACGCTCGCTCGCACACACACACACACGCTCGCACGCACACACACACACACGCTCGCACATGCACCCACGCACGTGCACCTACGCACACAAACACACGCACACACACGCACCCACCCACGCACACAAACACACGCACACACACGCACGCATGCTCGCACGCACAAACTCAAAAGCTCCCCAACTAGCCTTGATAACCACTGGGATTGGGGTACTATGTTCAGTTCGTTGTCCTTCCCCCGCACCTCCGATTAGCGCGGTTGGCTACGTACGGTGCGAAAGAAGTTCGACGTATGTGCGCACTGTTAGCGAGCACCCATTAAGGCGAACGCGCCACGCAAGCCGGAGATTTGTGTCTCCCCCACCCCCCCTCCGTCGGCCACGAACCACCGAGGCAATAAACAACCCCGCGCAATTGCGCCGCCGCTTTGCGCTTCCGCGCTAAATTAATTACCCAACCAACGGCTCGTGACCGCCGGGAGGCACGGAGCTCATCGGAGGGCACGCTCGTTAGCGCGGCGGTAATTGCCGACGACCCCCCCCCCTACCGCCGCCGTCGCCGCCGTGGTGCGAGCAGCCCCCCCCCCCCACACGTGAGATAAAAATGCAACGGAAGTCGACGTCGGATCAAAGCGTTTATTTTATGTTTTATATTTTTATTATTTTATTATTTCCCTTCTACGTGACTTTACCGAAAGAACCAAGAAGAAGCGTAAGAGAGTCGACAAAGATGACCCCCCCCGCCACCCCCTCGTCACCGTGTAGCCTGCAACGGAGCGTCGGGCAAGTGCTGCCCCCGGCTCGCAGCGCCGATGAAGGCTACCGGCACCGTGGCGCAGGGGGTGGGGGGTGGGGGCGGCCAGCGCCACGCCCGGCCGCCTTTGTCTCCCCCCCGGCGGCGATGCTTAACTAACCCACCCGCCGCACCAGTTGGCTCATTTGAGGCCGAGTCGACCTAGGGGAGGCCCGGGGAACGGATCCGGGCCAGCATTCGTCACCGGTGCTGGTGGACATGAGCGTGGGAATCGAACTCGGGTGGATGGGTTCGGAGCGCGCTAACCGCTGCACCACCACTCCCCACAGCACACAAAGACAAAGATCCCCCGTGTAGCCTGTAACAGAGTGTCGGGGCAAGTGCTGTTAGCGCTGCACCACAGCACACACACAAAGACAAAGATCCCCCGTGTAGCCTGTAACAGACTGTCGGGGCAAGTGCTGTTAGCGCTGCACCACAGCACACACACAAAGACAAAGCTCCTCCGTGTAGCGTGTAACAGAGTGTCGGGGCAAGTGCTGTTAGCGCTGCACCACAGCACACACACAAAGACAAAGATCCCCCGTGTAGCGTGTAACAGAGTGTCGGGGCAAGTGCTGTTAGCACTGCACCACAGCACACACACAAAGACAAAGCTCCTCCGTGTAGCCTGTAACAGACTGTCGGGGCAAGTGCTGTTTGCACTGCACCACAGCACACACACAAAGACAAAGCTCCTCCGTGTAGCCTGTAACAGACTGTCGGGGCAAGTGCTGTTTGCACTGCACCACAGCACACACACAAAGACAAAGATCCCCCGTGTAGCCTGTAACAGACTGTCGGGGCAAGTGCTGTTAGCACTGCACCACAGCACACACACAAAGACAAAGATCCCCCGTGTAGCCTGTAACAGAGTGTCGGGGCCAGTGCTGTTAGCGCTGCACCACAGCACACACACAAAGACAAAGCTCCTCCGTGTAGCCTGTAACAGACTGTCGGGGCAAGTGCTGTTTGCACTGCACCACAGCACACACACAAAGAAAAAGATCCCCCGTGTAGCCTGTAACAGACTGTCGGGGCAAGTGCTGTTAGCGCTGCACCACTGCACACACACAAAGACAAAGATCCCCCGTGTAGCCTGCAACAGAGTGTCGGGGCAAGTGCTGTTAACGCTGCACCACAGCACACACACAAAGACAAAGATCCCCCGTGTAGCCTGTAACAGAGTGTCGGGGCAAGTGCTGTTAGCACTGCACCACAGCACACACACAAAGACAAAGCTCCTCCGTGTAGCCTGTAACAGACTGTCGGGGCAAGTGCTGTTTGCACTGCACCACAGCACACACACAAAGACAAAGATCCCCCGTGTAGCCTGTAATAGACTGTCGGGGCAAGTGCTGTTAGCGCTGCACCACAGCACATACACAAATACAAAGATCCCCCGTGTAGCCTGTAACAGACTGTCGGGGCAAGTGCTGTTAGCGCTGCACCACAGCACATACACAAAGACAAAGATCTCCCGGATAACCCGTAACAGACTGTCGGGACAAGTGCTGTTAGCGCTGCACCACAGCACACACAAAGACAAAGATCTCCCGTGTAGCCTGTAACAAACTGTCGGGCAAGTGCTGTTAGCGCTGCACCACAGCACATACACAAAGACAAAGATCCCCCGTGTAGCCTGTAACAGACTGTCGGGGCAAGTGCTGTTAGCGCTGCACCACAGCACACACACAAAGACAAAGATCCCCCGTGTAGCGTGTAACAGAGTGTCGGGGCAAGTGCTGTTAGCACTGCACCACAGCACACACACAAAGACAAAGCTCCTCCGTGTAGCCTGTAACAGACTGTCGGGGCAAGTGCTGTTTGCACTGCACCACAGCACACACACAAAGACAAAGATCCCCCGTGTAGCCTGTAACAGACTGTCGGGGCAAGTGCTGTTAGCACTGCACCACAGCACACACACAAAGACAAAGATCCCCTGTGTAGCCTGCAACAGAGTGTCGGGGCAAGTGCTGTTAACGCTGCACCACAGCACACACACAAAGACAAAGATCTCCCGGATAACCCGTAACAGACTGTCGGGGCAAGTGCTGTTAGCGCTGCACCACTGCACACACACAAAGACAAAGATCCCCCGTGTAGCCTGTAACAGACTGTCGGGGCAAGTGCTGTTTGCACTGCACCACAGCACACACACAAAGACAAAGATCCCCCGTGTAGCCTGTAACAGACTGTCGGGGCAAGTGCTGTTTGCACTGCACCACAGCACACACACAAAGACAAAGATCCCCCGTGTAGCCTGTAACAGACTGTCGGGGCAAGTGCTGTTAGCACTGCACCACAGCACACACACAAAGACAAAGATCCCCCGTGTAGCCTGTAACAGAGTGTCGGGGCAAGTGCTGTTAGCGCTGCACCACAGCACACACACAAAGACAAAGCTCCTCCGTGTAGCCTGTAACAGACTGTCGGGGCAAGTGCTGTTTGCACTGCACCACAGCACACACACAAAGAAAAAGATCCCCCGTGTAGCCTGTAACAGACTGTCGGGGCAAGTGCTGTTAGCGCTGCACCACTGCACACACACAAAGACAAAGATCCCCCGTGTAGCCTGCAACAGAGTGTCGGGGCAAGTGCTGTTAACGCTGCACCACAGCACACACACAAAGACAAAGATCCCCCGTGTAGCCTGTAACAGAGTGTCGGGGCAAGTGCTGTTAGCACTGCACCACAGCACACACACAAAGACAAAGCTCCTCCGTGTAGCCTGTAACAGACTGTCGGGGCAAGTGCTGTTTGCACTGCACCACAGCACACACACAAAGACAAAGATCCCCCGTGTAGCCTGTAATAGACTGTCGGGGCAAGTGCTGTTAGCGCTGCACCACAGCACATACACAAATACAAAGATCCCCCGTGTAGCCTGTAACAGACTGTCGGGGCAAGTGCTGTTAGCGCTGCACCACAGCACATACACAAAGACAAAGATCTCCCGGATAACCCGTAACAGACTGTCGGGGCAAGTGCTGTTAGCGCTGCACCACAGCACACACAAAGACAAAGATCTCCCGTGTAGCCTGTAACAAACTGTCGGGGCAAGTGCTGTTAGCGCTGCACCACAGCACATACACAAAGACAAAGATCCCCCGTGTAGCCTGTAACAGACTGTCGGGGCAAGTGCTGTTAGCGCTGCACCACAGCACACACACAAAGACAAAGATCCCCCGTGTAGCGTGTAACAGAGTGTCGGGGCAAGTGCTGTTAGCACTGCACCACAGCACACACACAAAGACAAAGCTCCTCCGTGTAGCCTGTAACAGACTGTCGGGGCAAGTGCTGTTTGCACTGCACCACAGCACACACACAAAGACAAAGATCCCCCGTGTAGCCTGTAACAGACTGTCGGGGCAAGTGCTGTTAGCACTGCACCACAGCACACACACAAAGACAAAGATCCCCCGTGTAGCCTGCAACAGAGTGTCGGGGCAAGTGCTGTTAACGCTGCACCACAGCACACACACAAAGACAAAGATCTCCCGGATAACCCGTAACAGACTGTCGGGGCAAGTGCTGTTAGCGCTGCACCACTGCACACACACAAAGATAAAGATCCCCCGTGTAGCCTGCAACAGAGTGTCGGGGCAAGTGCTGTTAACGCTGCACCACAGCACACACACAAAGACAAAGATCCCCCGTGTAGCCTGTAACAGAGTGTCGGGGCAAGTGCTGTTAGCACTGCACCACAGCACACACACAAAGACAAAGCTCCTCCGTGTAGCCTGTAACAGACTGTCGGGGCAAGTGCTGTTTGCACTGCACCACAGCACACACACAAAGACAAAGATCCCCCGTGTAGCCTGTAACAGACTGTCGGGGCAAGTGCTGTTAGCGCTGCACCACAGCACATACACAAAGACAAAGATCTCCCGGATAACCCGTAACAGATTGTCGGGGCAAGTGCTGTTAGCGCTGCACCACAGCACACACAAAGACAAAGATCTCCCGTGTAGCCTGTAACAAACTGTCGGGGCAAGTGCTGTTAGCGCTGCACCACAGCACATACACAAAGACAAAGATCTCCCGGATAACCCGTAACAGACTGTCTGGGCAAACGCAGCGCCTATGAGAGCCGGCACGGCGCATGAGGGGGGTGGGGGGGGGGGTGGCCAGCGTCACGCACGCCTGGCCGCACTTGTGTCTTCCCGGTGACCCCAACGCCTCCCTCCCCGCCGCTAGCATCGCACGGGACGGCGACTACGGCCTACTACGGCCTACGGCGGTCTAAGACGACTCCACCGGCTGAGGCCGCGACGACGGATGACTCGACTAGGCTCTAAGGAAAGCTGTCTCGATTTCAAGGACAGTGCATACATTATCAGATTTCGATTTAAAGCTTTCGTGACTGCAGGGATTCATCTTCTTGGTTCTTTCGGTAAAGTCACGTAGAAGGGAAATAATGAAATAAAAAAAATAAAACTTAATTATTTTACTATGTTTAACTTTTATTATTTTATTATTTACCTTCTACGTGACTTTACCGAAATAATAAAATAATAAACATAAAACATAATAAAAGAATTATGTTTTATTTTTATTATTTTATTATTTCCCTTCTACGTGACTTTACCGAAAGAACCAAGAAGATACATTATCAGAGTTATGTTTTTTGTTTGCACTACGACTGCAGGTATTGTGGTCTTTGCAAAACATGACTCCTTGTAAAAAAAGGTGTCAGTTTTGTTGCCAGATAAAAGGGTAAAAAAACAATTATCATCCCAAACAAACTCATAATGCACGGGCATTTCCCATAAATATGCTAAATTCCTCTTGATATGCAAATTCTTTTGTCAAGGCGCTCTTCTTCCCCCTCATACCCAGCTTAAATATACGCTCCAAGCTTGGTGGTGTTTCATTCTTCACCTGAGGACGGCTACTTGCGTTGTGGCCGAAACGTCGTGAGAATTATTTTATTACGTTTTATTTTTATTATTTTATTATTTCCCTTCTACGTGACTTTACCGAAAGAACCAAGAAGATATCATATTTTTCTACTGGCAAATGAGGTTCCAATGGTGATGGACGACACCACCACCAGCGACGGCCATGCACATCTCTCTCTCCTCTCTCTCCTCTCTCTCCCTCTCTCCTCTCTCTCCTCTCCGCGTCGTCTCTCACCTCCAGCAGGAAGTCGCCCATCTTGAGTCCAGCGCGGAAGGCGACGCCGTCCTCATCCACCGACTCGAGGTACTGCAGCGCCGGGAAGGCGACGCTCGGCGTGAAGTCCTCGATGGGCACGTCCGCTGCTCCAGGAGGGGGAATGCGTCAAATTAAACCGCCGCTCAACGAGGAGCTGAGCGAGAAGCGAGCCACTAAGGCTGTACAACTGTTTACTTTTGCCGTAGTTGCCGTAGTTGTAAAATAAAATAAATCACGACCTTTCGGGCACGACACAAGCATCCGTCATCAGGAAGGAAAAAAGCTTTTTTTGTCCATTTTCAGGTGGAAAAAAAGCTTTTTTTTGTCCATTTTCAGGTGGGAAAAAACTTTTTTTGTCCATTTTCAGGTGGAAAAAAAGCTTTTTTGTCCATTTTCAGGTGGAAAAAACAGCAGTTTTTGTCCATTTTCAGGTGGGAAAAAAGCTTTTTCTGAAGAAGGACGCTTGTGTTGCGCCCGAAACGTCGTGATTTATTTTATTTTATACCCACGTGACTTTACCGAAAGAACCAAAGAGTATGTATTCCTGCAGTCACGAAAGCTTCAAATAAAGATTGACGTCGTTGTTTAACGCGTAGTCGGAGGCTTTCGCGAACAATATCCATCCATAAGAGGTTTTTTTCTTGGGTTAGAATGTGTAACTTTATAAACACGTGTCGTTAAACCCGCCACCACCCGACACAGCCAACTCGTGAGATTTATCACGTGAACAGGACGTGCCGATTCGTTACTGGTACAGCACTAGTGTATAGTGTAGTGTATAGCAGAGGTGGGACAAAGTCATTGTTATGCAAGTCCAAGTCGAGTCTGAAGTCATCAAATTCATGACTCGAGTCCAAGTCACATGACTCGAGTCCACACCTCAGAGGTGGGACAAAGTCATTGTTATGCAAGTCCAAGTCGAGTCTGAAGTCATCAAATTCATGACTCGAGTCTGACTCGAGTCCAAGTCACATGACTCGAGTCCACACCTCTGGTGTATAGTGTAGTGTATAGTGTAGTATACTAGTACAGCACGCCGGTTGTGTGTTGGAGAGCAAATCCACACCATTTACAATCTGAGTACGACGTTTCACCAGTAATTACAACCAGCTTCATCAGGCGACGATGGGGACGATGGGTGACATCGTGGACGAGACGATGGTGATGATGGTGACGATGGTGATGATGGTGATGATGGTGATGATGGTGACGATGGTGACGATGGCGACGATGGCGACGATGGCGACGATGGTGAAGATGGTGACGATGGTGACGATGGTGACGATGGCGACGATGGCGATGATGGTGACGACGGCGACGATGGTGACGATGGTAACGACGGCGACGATGGTGACGATGGTGACGACGGTGACGACGGTGACGATGGCGACGATGGTGACGATGGTGACGATGGCGATGATGGTGACGACGGCGACGATGGTGACGATGGTAACGACGGCGACGATGGTGACGATGGTGACGACGGTGACGACGGTGACGATGGCGACGATGGTGACGATGGTGACGATGGCGATGATGGTGACGACGGCGACGACGGCGACGATGGTGACGATGGTGACGATGGTGACGACGGCGACGATGGTGACGGTGACGATGGTGACGATGGCGATGATGGCGATGATGGCGATGATGATAGTGACGATGATAGTGACGACGGGGTGTCTACCTTTCGCGCCACGCAACACGAATCCGAAGCCCTCGCTGTCGCGCTTCTGCAGCACCACGGTGCGCTCTTCAATCACGAACTCGCTGCGCCGACAACGGGGAGGAGGAAGAAGATTGTACAATCGTCCCCCCATTGCCCCCCCACCCGCACCCCACAATCCCCCCCGCCCAACCCCCACCCCCCCGGCATGTGCGTTGAGCCCGTGCCACGCGCCACCGACGCGCGCTTCTCCGGCTTCGGCCTCAAAACGCCGTGAGCGTCCCCACTCCCTGGGGCCACAAGCAGCGAGTGGGGGGTAAAAAAAAAAAAAAAAGAAAAAAAAAAACTCGCTCGGACAGCGGGGAAAGCTCGTGCATCCGCGGGGTCGCTCGACACGACGTCCGACGTTTCGCTTCCGCGAGCTACAGGCTCCCCCCTCCCGCGCCGTGGTCTCAAACAATGGCAAAGAACCCCCGCAACAGCCGCCGACGGACTGTCGGGGGGGCGCGAGTGCCGTTGGCGAGCTGCGCCCTATGAAGGCCGGCACGGCGCACGAGGTGGTGGGGGGGTGGGGTGTGGGTGGCCAGCGCCACGCCCGACCGCCTTTGTCTCCCCCAGCGCCGTTGGTTTAACACATCGCACCAGGCACTCGTTTAAGGCCGAGTCGACCTAGGGGAGGCGGCGCACGATCGAATCCGGGACGTGAGCGGGAATCGAACTCGGGCCGGCGGGTTCGTAGCGCCGCGCGCCAACCCATCACGCTGCCCGCTACCCGCACGCACGCACACAAAGATCCCCCGTGTAGCCTTAACAGACTGTAGGGGCAAGTGCTGTTAGCGAGCACCTACGAAGGCCCGAACGGTACACGAACGAGGGGGTGGGTGGCCAGCACCACGCCCGACCGCCTTGTCTCCCCAGTGGCGATGTTTACACATCGCACCAGGTACTCATTTGAGGCTGAGTCGACCTAGGGGAGGCCCAGGACCGGTTCAGATAATCGTCACTGGTGTTAGCCGTGAGCGGGAATCGAACCCGGGTCGCCAGGTTCATAGCGCAGTGCGCTAACCGCTACACTACCGCTCCCCATACGCACGCACACACACACATACATACACGTGCGGGCACACACATACGCGCGCGTATGCGCTCACACGGACGAACTTGCGCGCTAACGTGCGGATCACTCGCCTGGCGAACACAGCCTCACCTGGAGGAGCTGACGCTGTTGTAGGAGCTGACCGTGTAGTGCCTGAAGAGCCTCTTTGACCTGTCCTCCCTTGTTTCTGCAAGGGGGCGAAGCACAAACACGCTGGCGCCTGCCACACGAACGTGGAATGTCCGCTTCGTAACAAGCGGGGGGAAACGGGGGGGGCTTTAAAAGGACGTGGCGAAGGGCCCGTTGCTTGAAAAATCAACGATTACGTCTCTACTCTTAGGTTTTTTCGGTAAAGTCACGTAGGTAAAAAATTTAATTAAAATTAATAAAAGTAATAAAAGTAAAATAAAAATCACGACGTTTCGGAGGCAACACAAGCTTCCGTCTTCAGGTGGAACCGTCACAGCACGATTGCTGTATCAAGTGAGAGTAAGACTCCATCCATCCTCTCTCACTTGATACAGCAATCGAGCTGTGACGGTTCCACCTGAAGACGGAAGCTTGTGTTGCCTCCGAAACGTCGTGATTTTTATTTTATTTTTTATTTTACTTTTATTACTTTTATTTTTCACCTACGTGACTTTACCGAAAAAAACCTGAGAGTATGAATCCTTGCAGTCACGAAAGCTTCAAATCTAGGATTACGTATCTCTCTCTCGACGGGCTCAAGCCTCCAGTCAAACACGTGACTCCCGTGTGGCCACGCCCACTCTGAACACCTCCGCCCCTCTACCCTCTGACGCCGCCCACTCTGAAAACAGACTCCTCCTCCCACCTCCCCACTCCTCCCACCTCCTCCCTCCCTCCCTCCGTTCTCCTCCCACCTCCTCCCTCCCTCCTCCCTCCTCCCCACTCCTCCCCACTCCTTCTCCCTCCTCCATCCATCCTCCCTCCTCCCACCTCCTCCCACCTCCTCCCTCCTCCTCCTCCCTCCCTCCGTTCTCCTCCCACCTCCTCCCTCCCTCCTCCCTACTCCTCCCCACTCCTTCTCCCTCCATCCATCCTCCTCCCTCCTCCCACCTCCCACCTCCCACCTCCCACCTCCCACCTCCTCCTCCCTCCCTCCGTTCTCCTCCCACCTCCTCCCTCCCTTCTCCCACCTCCCCACTCCTCCTCCTCCCACCTCCTCCCTCCTCTCCACTCCTCCCCACTCCTTCTCCCTCCTCCATCCATCCTCCTCCATCCTCCCACATCCTCCCTCCCTCCGTCCTCCTCCCACCTCCTCCCTCCCTCCCACCTCCTCCCTCCCTCCCACCTCCTCCCTCCCTCCCACCTCCTCCCTCCTCTCCACTCCTCCTCCCTCCCTCCTACCGGATGGCGACCCGCGGAGTGCCCGCCTCCTAACCGCGGCCACAACCACCGCGCTTGGCAGCAGCGTGCACGCGGCCCCCGGAGCGGTCGCTGACCCCGAGGACTCTCGTTCTTGTGCGTCCGCACGTGCGTGTGTGCGTACGTGTGCACGCGTGTGTGTGTACATGTGCACGTGCATGTGTCTGCGTGCGTGCACGTGTGTGCGTGTGCGCGCCCTTGTGGCGTGGTTGCCGGCCACCCTCCGGCCTCGTGCGCCGTGCCGGCCTTCGTAGGTGCTGCTACTCCGCTAACAGCACTCGTCCCAACAGTCTGTTACAGGCTACACGTGCGTGTCGCGTGTGCGTGTCTGTGTGCGCGTGAGTGTCTGCGTGCGTGCACGTGAGTGTCTGCGTGATTGCGCGTGTGTGTCTGTGTGAGTGTGCGTGTGTGTCTGTGTGCGTGTGTGTCTGTGTGCGTGAGTGTCTGTGCGCGTGCGTGCGTGCGTGCGCGTGAGTGCGCGCCCACCTGGGGGGGTTTCCGCCGTCCTCATCTGCACCTCCTGCACGCAGTCGGCCGGGAACCAGCCCGTGCGTCCGTGCACACAGCCCTCCCAGTACCCGGCCTCCCCCACGCTCAGCACTGCACGCACGAGACGGGGTCGGACGCGGACAAATCCTGAGCGCGCGGGGAGAGCGATGCCGGCGACGGGAACCACGGCGGGGCGGGCCTGGCGGTCGCGGGGGTCTCACGGTTCCAATTCCGGTGGCCGCCCCCGGTCAACGCTGCGGTTGGTGCGAATTCACCGTAACGCTGGCAACGCGCCGGACGTGAGAGACGCGGCGACGCCGTTGGCTAGGGTGATCACGGTACCAAATTTGCCACGCTTTGAAAAGTTACACCGCAAGCTACTCAAATTGGGATTACAGACAAAGACAAAGATCCCCCCCTTGTAGTCTGAGCAAACTGTAGGGGCAAGTGCTGTTAGCGAGCAGCACCTATGAAGGCCGGAACAGCACACGAGGGGGTGGGTGGCCAGCACCACGCCCGGCCGCCTTTGTCTCCCCAGTGCCGATGTTTACACACCGCACCAGGTACTCATTTGATGGTAGGGGTTGCCCAGGACCGGTGTAGATAATCGTCACTGGGTGTTGGTGTGTGCGCGAGCGGGAATCGAACTCGGGTCGCCGGGTTCGTAGCGCAGCACAGCGCTAACCGCTGCGCCACCGCTCCCCCAAATAGGGATCGCGCGCACACACACACAGAGGCGGCGGAAATCACCGGCCCGCCCCTTGAGGACCGACGCCCCCAGGGCACTCCCGAAAATGAAAAGCACCGTGGTCTCTGGAGCTCCCGTGGCGGGGCCTGCATTGAATTAGCCGCCTCGCAGAGTTATGAGAATCTCGACGATCGCCGTGATCCGCCGTGCGGACGCGGGCGATGGCAGCGGCACGGTTCGGCTTCCGCGGTGGAAAAACGTGGCCCTGGTGTGGCTCTGGTGTGGCTCTGGTGTGGCGCTGGTGTGGCCCTGGTGCGGCTTGGTTGTACCAGTGGAAAAATCCCTGTCATCCCGTCACCTTGCTCACCCACCCGCCCACTACGCCCACCAACCCACCACACCCCATCCATCCACCAAACCCCACCCACACACCACCACACACCCACGCACCCACCACCCACCCACTCACCCACCACACCCGCCCGCCCTCCCGCCGTACCTTGCACCTGCTCCCCGGCGGCGAGTGCGATCTCCCCGTGGGAGTGCGGCTGGTACGACCGCACGGCCACGAAGGTGCGGCCCGGCACGGCGCTGTACAGCCTCCGCTTGGCCGCCGCCGCCGCGGCACTGGGACGGAGAGACGGAGGCACAGACACGGAGAGATGGAGGCACAGAGACGGGGAGACGGAGGCACAGACACGGAGAGATGGAGGCACAGAGACGGGGAGACGGAGGCACAGACACAGAGAGACGGAGGCACAGACACGGAGAGACGGAGACACAGACACGGAGAGACGGAGACACTGAGACGGAGAGACGGAGGCACAGACACGGAGAGACGGAGACACTGAGACGGAGAGACGGAGGCACAGACACGGAGAGATGGAGGCACAGAGACGGGGAGACGGAGGCACAGACACAGAGAGACGGAGACACAGACACGGAGAGACGGAGACACAGACACGGAGAGACGGAGACACTGAGACGGAGAGACGGAGGCACAGACACGGAGAGACGGAGACACTGAGATGGAGAGACGGAGGCACAGACACGGAGAGACGGAGACACAGACACGGAGAGATGGAGGCACAGAGACGGGGAGACGGAGGCACAGACACGGAGAGACGGAGACACAGACACGGAGAGACGGAGACACAGACACGGAGAGACGGAGACACTGAGATGGAGAGACGGAGGCACAGACACGGAGAGACGGAGGCACAGACACGGAGAGATGGAGGCACAGACACGGAGAGACGGAGGCACAGACACAGAGAGACGGAGACACAGACACGGAGAGACGGAGACACTGAGACGGAGAGACGGAGGCACAGACACGGAGAGACGGAGACACTGACACGGAGAGACGGAGACACAGACACAGAGAGACGGAGGCACAGACACGGAGAGACGGAGGCACAGACACGGAGAGATGGAGGCACAGAGACGGGGAGACAGAGGCACAGACACGGAGAGACGGAGACACAGACACGGAGAGACGGAGACACTGAGACGGAGAGACGGAGGCACAGACACGGAGAGACGGAGACACTGAGATGGAGAGACGGAGGCACAGACACGGAGAGACGGAGACACTGAGATGGAGAGACGGAGGCACAGACACGGAGAGACGGAGACACAGACACGGAGAGACGGAGACACTGAGATGGAGAGACGGAGACACAGACACGGAGAGACGGAGACACTGAGACGGAGAGACGGAGGCACTGAGACGGAGAGACGGAGGCACAGACACGGAGAGACGGAGACACTGAGATGGAGAGACGGAGACACAGACACGGAGAGACGGAGACACTGAGATGGAGAGACGGAGGCACAGACACGGAGAGACGGAGACACTGAGATGGAGAGACAGAGACACTGAGACGGAGAGACGGAGGCACAGACACGAAGAGACGGAGACACTGAGACGGAGAGACGGAAGCACAGACACGGAGAGACGGAGACGGAGAGACGGAGGCACAGACACGGAGAGACGGAGGCACAGACACGGAGAGACAGAGACACAGACACTGAGACGGAGGCACTGAGACGGAGACAGAGAAACGGCAGCGCAGTGATCCGCGCGGATTTTCTCTGCAGAATAAACCGCGAAAGTTTGAACCCTTTCTGGCAATAACACGGATCGTGCGTTAAGGTGTTCGAACACCAAACAGAGAAATCTTTTTTTGGTTTAACAAGCGCGGTTACGACCGTTCCGCTGGTAACTAAAACCTGCAGCAGCACCTGGCAGTTGCATGCGACAATAGGTGGTGGTGGTGACATCACAAACGTAACCTCCACAATCGGAATGTTCATTTCATGCCGGAGGAATCCGATGAGCTACGAAGCTCGTCCAGGAGACGCACAGCGCGACGGAGCCGTGAAACGCAGCGCGATCACGAGTACACGGCACGCTGACGCAGCGTACCGACACGGCCCCCGCTGACCAGAGGTCGCAAACGGGTTTTGATTCCTTACCCGTACCCGTACCCGGCCGCACCAGGGTCGCAAACGGGTACCCGTACCCTACCCGTACCCTACCCGTACCCGGCCGGGTACGGGTAGGGTACGGGTATCGGGTACCTGATTGCGACCTCTGGGATGAAGCCATGTTGCAGGCGCGGGTGGGTTCATTCTAGGAACTTGAATTGTGAGAAGAGGCAAGACGTTGGGAAATGAGTGACAAACGGTTACTCACCAGTGACTCACGGCCTACCCATACCCGGCCGGGTACGGGTAGCCGGGTATCGGGTAGGGTACGGGTATCGGGTACCCGGTTGTGACCTCTGCCGCTGACGCAGCGTACCGACACACCAAATGGCACGGCACACGGACAGACTGATCGGCGCACAGCGCGGCACGACCCCGCTGGTACGCAAGCAGCCGTCATAGATTTTTGGGTCAAGTGCTGTTAGCGAGCACCTATGAAGACCGGACTGGCGCACGAGTGGATAGGTGGCCAGCACCACTCCCGGCCGCCTTTGTCTCCCTAGTGGCGATGTTTACTACACACCGCATCAGGTAGTTATTTGAGGCTGAGTCGACCCAGTGGAGGCCGAGGACCGGTTCAGATAATCGTCAGCGGTGTTGGCCGTGAGCGGCAATCGAAAGCGGGTCGTCGGGTTCGCAGCGCAGCGTAGCGCTAACCGCTGCACCGCCGCTCTCCATGCAAAGACTAACACACTCATACAAGGAACACGCACGCGCGCGCGCTCACACGAACACACGAACACCAGCACACACACACACACGCACAAGCACACACGCACACACACACACGCACACACGAACATCAGCACACACACGCACACACGAATACACACACGCACGCACACACGCGCACACACGAACACACAAAAGCACGCGCACACACGAACACACAAAAGCACGCGCACACACGAACACACAAAAGCACGCGCACACACGAACACACACGCGCACACAAGCACACACACGCACACCAGAACACACACACGCACACACACGCATACGCACACACGAACACCAGCACACACACGCACACCAGCACACACACACACACACGCACACACACACACGAACACACACACACACGAACACACACGAACACGCACACACGCACACACGCGCGCGCAGCAGCAGCCGTGCGCTGCCAGCCCGTGGTCCCCGGCGACTCCGCGCCGTGCCACCACCGCGCGCTAATTTGTCCGCGCGCTAATTTGACGATCGCTGGCGGAGGAGGCAGGAGGGGTGGGGGGGGTGTCGGCTCTGCCGGGAGCCGCCGATTGCCCCCCTCCCCCCCTCCACCGCGCTCGACGTTCAATTATTTTGTCATCCCCAACCACCGAGCCGGCAGAAACGCTGCCGCCGGTGGCAGCGGCCTCGGTTCTGATCTCCCGGCGCGGCGGTCTGAAGCAAGATCCCAGCTCCACCGCCTCGGTCGATGCCATCGGCGCGCAAAGCGGCGGCGGCGGGCGCCGGTTAGCCGCGTCGCCCGGCGCGCGCGGGTTGGTGGGGTGGGGGGGTGAAGTGCGGGCGACTCTTCGCGCGTGGAAGATTAGGCCAAGTACCCTTGAGAAGGGGCTGGGGGGGGGAGGGGCGAGGTGGGGTTTTACATAACTTCTCCGCCCCCCCCCCCTCCCCCACCTTCTGCAAGCGGCGGTTCGAGCAAAGCAACTGCGATCTTGACACCCACCGATATTAAAAATATTAATAATAAACAACAAGAGAAGGCGTCTCGTAGCGTGACACTGCTGGGGAGAAGTCATAATTTAAAACATCGGTGGCACCCCCACGCCGTCGCTGGCAAGCAGCCACCCTCCCACCCGCCCCCCCCCCTGCTCCCCCCCAAATCCCTTGCTTCCACACTCCGGTAATGAATTCCGCGGGGGGACCCCAAAAGAAACGTGACGGGCGGAAATCTCGAACGCGAAAGACGGAGGAGCCGCGTGGAGCGGCCGCTCAACGACTTCGGCCATGACGACGACGACGACAATAAATGTCCACGTGATGACGAGCCCAGAGCCGTCGTTCGTGGCCAGGGTCGTGTTTGAAAACGAGCAGCCGTGGCTCACGACGGCCGCACGACCGTCTCCTCCTGGCGCTGGGGGGCGTTTTCGCAGGCCATCTCTGCGGCGATTCACCAACCCTCGCCGCTGCCTCCGACAGCGCCGGATCGTCGCAGGCAACGACGCGTGGCCACCGGCAACACTTTCCCCACGTCCGAGCGAGCCTTCTGAGCATCAACGACGCTCTCCGCGCCACTCCACCCCAACCTCCCCCCGGGCGGACAACTTTGACGAATGAGCGAGGACTCCTCGGCCAGGGCCATCGGCCGAGAGGCCCGAGGATTCTTCTCCCGAGCCCTTTGGCGGCAACCCAACCGCGCCGGCGGCCCTCGCGAAACAAACCCGTGCCGGCAGCGGCACGTCTGGCCGCGCCCGGCACAGCGCACACACCGGGGTGGGTGGGGGGAGGTGGGGGTGGCGGGCGACCGTCGTTCTGAATGATCATTTCTCCCCAGCAGCGTCACGCTTCGAGACGCATTCTCGTCGGATCCGATAGCTGTATCAAGTCTGTGACTTCTTGTCTCGTTGTCTGTTAAAAACTCTAACAGAGAGGTGAAATTCCTCCCCGTAGAGGGTATTAATTAGAGTTTTTAACAGAAAACGAGACAAGAAGTCACAGACTTGATACAGCAATCGTGCTGTGACAGTTCCACCTGAAGACGGAGGCTTGTGTTGCCTCCGAAACGTCGTGATTTTTATTTTAATGTTACTTTTATTAATTTACATTTTTTACCTACGTGACTTTAACCGAAAAAACCGAAGAATATGAATCCTTGCAGTCAGGAAAGCTTCAAATCTAGAATTATGGTCAAACAGCCCCCCCCGCCCGCTCCCACGTGACCGACACGGCATGGGCGGGTTTGGATTGTCCTCCTGGCCACCATCCAAGCAGCAGCGAAACGAGGAGGCGGCGGTTAATTATTTATATGCAGATTTTCTTTCGGGTCCCCACGATCTCTCATCGCCGTGGCACGGCCGCAGCCGTTTCCTCGCACCCTCGCCTCCCACGGACGCCAACGGCGAAGGCTCCGTGAAGCGAAAACGAGGGCCAGGGCACCACCCCAAGAATAACAACAAACAATAACGATTGTTGGTGTTGTTGTTGTTGTTGTCAACTTGAAAGGCTACGCCACCGCCGCCGCCGCCAAGTGTGCGGGATTCGCTCCTCGCTCTCGGAGAGACACAGAGAGAGAGAGAGAGGGCGATGATGACAACGTCGTTCAGAAATTACACCGAACACTCTCACAGTCTTAACCTCAACACCGCGCGAGCATTGATGATGACGACGATGACGACGATGATGAATGACAATGATGATGACAATGACGACGATGATGACGACGGTGACGACGATGATGACGACAATGATGATGACGACAATGACGTTGACGATGATAATGACAATGACGACGATGATGATGACGATGATAATGACGATGACGATGACGACGATGACGACGATTTTCTTGCTATTTCTGGCAACGTTTACCCCAGAATGCACCTGAACCTCACCAGCACGTGAACATTGACGATGACGACGATGCCGTCGACGACGACGATGATGACGATGATGACGATGATGACGATTTTCTTGCCATCGCTGGGCACGTTTGCCCAGCAAAGCTCCGGTGAGAGTCTCAAGGCCACGCCGGACGCGTTACACCGACACGAACCACCGGTGCCAATCTCGACCAAACGGACACCGCCGGCGACGACAACGCAACGGAGACGGCCACGGTCGATAGTCACCACGTCGGCAAAAAACGTCGCCGGCGCTGATCGGCGCGCCCGCACGCCGCTGGCCCCCCCCCCGCCCGGCTCCCTCCCCGAGACGCTCCGTAACGAGCGCTCGCTCGGCAATCCGTGCGCACGCTCCTCTCTGTAGACGATCGCCACCACCGTGATCACAGCCGCCACCACCACCACCACCATCATCATCACCGCAGCCACCACCACACGATTGCCCCCCGCCACTAACACCACCACCACGACCATTATCACCGCTACCATCACCACCACCATCATCAAGACCACCACCACGACGATCACCCCCCACCAACACCGTCATCAAGACCACCACCACCAGCACCACAATCATCACCACAATCATCATCATCATCATCACCATCACCACCACCAGCACCACAATCATCACCACCACCATCATCAAGACCACCACCACGAGGATCGCCCCCCACCAACACCATCATCAAGACCGCCATCACCACCACCAGCACCACCATCACCACAATCATCACCAACACCATCACCATCATCACCACCGCCACCACCGCCACCATAATCACTACCACACGATCGCCACCACCGTCAAACAACAAGCTCTGCCGTATAGCCTGAACAGACCTCCGATGACCACGGCTGGCCACGCACGGCGCTGAACAAGTCAAACGCACGCACAGACTGTCGGGGCAAGCGCTGTCAAGCGAGCGCCTACGAAGGCCGGCACGGCACACACGACCCGGAGAGAGGAGGCCGCCACCACACCGGACCGCCTTGGCCTCCCCGGTGCCGACGTTTCCACACCGCGCCGGGCCGCTCATTCGGCGCGAAGTCGACCGCTTCGGTAACGGTCGTCGCCAACGGCCGGGCGGCAAAGCGGGACTCGATCTGGCGTCTCTGCCGGGCGGGCTCGTGGGCGCGGCGCTAACCGCCAGAGGTCGCAACCGGGTACCCGATACCCGTACCCTACCCTATACCCGGCTACCCGGCTGGGTACGGGTAAGGGTAGCCGTTTGCGACCCTGGTGCGGCCGGGTATGGGTACGGGTAAGGAATCAAAGCGCGTTTGCGACCCCTGCTAACCGGCGCCGTGGCACCGCTCCCCACGCCGACACTCACTTGATGGCGATGGCCTGCGCCTGCTGCAGGAGCTGTGGCGGCAGACTGCGCAGCGACGGCGCGGGCGAGTGTCCCGCCGGCCCGTCAAAGTCACCGGTGCCGCCGCCGGTGCAGCCGCCGCCGACGCCGGAGCCGCCGCCGGAGCCGCCGGCCGCGGTGTTGCCGCGGGAGCACGGGTGGAGGCCGCGGTCGCTGTTGGAGCGCGTGAGGTTTCGCGACGCAGCCGACAGGGTGGCCTGGCTGCAGCGCCGGCGGTTCGTGTACGACGGAGTCTCGGTGAACGGCGCTGCCGGGGAGGAATCGGGGTTCGTCGGTTGGAGGCGGTGGTTGGTGGGAGAGGGAGGAGGCGGTGGCGGCGGTGGTGGTGGTGGTGGGGGGGAAGCGAGGAGGGAGAGAGAGGGGGTGGGAGGTGTGCAAAAAGAGGAGCAGAGAGATTTTTTTTTTTAAACGAGACACAGAGACGCGTGACTCACACGCGCGCACAAAGATAAAGGAACAGATCCCCCGTGTAGCATTCACAGACTGTTGGGGCAAGTGCTGTTAGCGAGCACCTACGAAGGCCGGCACGGCGCACGAGGGGGCGGGTGGCCGGCACCACGCCCGGCCGCCTTTGTCTCCCCAGTGGCGATCATTTTACACACCGCACCAGGTACTCATTTGAGGCTGAGTCGACCTAGAGGAGGCGCAGGACCGGTTCAGATAATCGTCACCGGTGTTGGCCGTGAGCGGGAATCGAACTCGGGCGGCCAGGTTCGTAGCGCAGCGTAGCGCTAACCGCTGCACCACCGCACACGCAAACACGCGCAGACACACGCAGGCACACACACGCGCAAACACACGCAGGCACACACACACGCAGGCACACACACACACGCGCAGACACACGCAGGCACGCAGGCACGCAGGCACACACACACACACACGCGCACACGTGAGGACGCGTGCTCTCTCCCGCTCGCTCTCTCCTCTCGCTCGTTTCCCCGGGCGCTTGAGGCGGGAGGATTTTGATGTGGGCTGCCCACGCACACACGCACACACACGCACACGCGCGCACACACACACGCACGCGCAGGCACACACACACGCACGCGCAGGCACACGCACGCACGCGCGTGCAGGCGCACACACGCGCGCAGGCACACACACACGCACACACACACGCACACACACACGCACACGCGCGCACACACACACACGAACGCGCGTGCAGGCGCACACACGCGCGCAGGCACACACACACACACGCGCAGGCACACACATACACACGCGTGCAGGCACACACACACACACGCACGTGCAAGCACACACGCACACACGCGCAGGCACACACACGCACACACGCGCAGGCACACACACACACACGCGCAGGCACACACATACACACGCGTGCAGGCACACACACACACACGCGTGCAGGCATACACATACACACGCGTGCAGGCACACACACACACACGCGTGCAGGCACACACACACACACGCGTGCAGGCATACACATACACACGCGTGCAGGCACACACACACACACACGTGCAGGCATACACATACACACGCGTGCAGGCACACACACACACACGCGTGCAAGCACACACACACACACGCGCAGGCACACACATACACACGCGTGCAGGCACACACACACACACACGCGTGCAGGCACACACACACACACGCGTGCAGGCACACACATACACACGCGTGCAGGCACACACATACACACGCGTGCAGGCACACACACACACACGCGTGCAGGCACACACACACACACACACGTGCAGGCATACACACACACACGCGTGCAGGCACACACACACGCACGCACTCACGCGCAGGCACACACACACACACGCACTCACGCGCAGGCACACACACGTGTGTGCCGCGCTCGCTTGAATAGAGGGAGCGGTGGCGGGGGGGGGCGACGGGAGAGGGGGCGGCGGAGAGCGGGGGGAGGAGTGGGGGGCGAGCGTGAGTCACTTGCAAGAGGAGGCAGCAGCAGCAGCGGCAGCAGCACCGCTGTGAAACAGCAGCGCTGCACACCACGGCGGAAGTTTTGTTGTTGCAAAATGTTAACTGCCTCGCCTGGTACGCAGGAGGTCGTGGGTTCGATCCCGACCCCTACGCCTGCTGCTGTATATTTGGAGTTTGCATCTCTCATCATCATCACGGTGGCTAGGAGATGTTAACTACCTCGCCTGGTACGCAGGAGGTCGTGGGTTCGATCCTGACCCCGACGCCTGCTGCTGCATATCTGGAGCTTGCATCTCTCATCATCATCACGGTGGCTAGGAGATGTTAACTACCTCACCTGGTACGCAGGAGGTCGTGGGTTCGATCCCGACCCCGACGCCTGCTGCTGCTGCATATCTGGAGCTTGAGTCTCACGGTCTCTGCTTTGCGTGGATTTGTCTCCAGACCCCCCAACCGCATGTGCAATCAACGTCAATACGCGTTTCAAGAGCCACTTGGCCGCTGCCATGAATTCCACGCGATGACGACAATAATAACAGCAAGCCGGCCCGGCTTCGTTGCGCTGCTTCTCGTTTGCTACGGCCACAGCTGAGCGACGAGTTTGCGCTGCCGCACGTGGCAAGGGTACACCCCAGAGGTCGCAAACGGGTTTTGATTCCTTACCCGTACCCGGTCGCACCAGGGTCGCAAACGGGTACCCGTACTCGGCCGTACCCGTACCCTACCCGTAACCGGCCGGATACCCGGCCGAGTACGGGTAGGGTACGGGTATCGGGTACCCGATTGCGACCTCTGGGATGAAGCCATGTTGCAGGCGCGGGTGGGTTGATTCTAGGAACTTGAATTGTGAGAAGAGACAAGACGTTGGGAAATGAGTGACAAACGGTGACTCACCAGTGACTCACGGCCTTCCCGTACCCGTACCCGGCCGGGTACGGGTTGTCGTCTCCCCCCCCCACTGCCACCTTCCGTGGCGTTCAACTCCGGCGCCCGAGTTTCAAAACCGCCGCTTCTCCGTCTCGCCGTGTGACAGGGGGAAGTGACACGCTGGCCGCCGTTACCGTTCGCATGACGTTGGCCGCCGTTACCGCTTGCAGCGAGGCTGGCTGCGGTTACCATTTGCGGCGAGGCTGCGGTTACCATTTGCGGCACGCTGGCTGCGGTTATCGCTTGCAGCGCGGCTGCGGTTACCATTTGCGGCATGCTGGCTGCGGTTACCATTTGCAGCGAGGCTGCGGTTACCGCTTGCGGCGCGCTGGCTGCGGTTACCATTTGCAGCGAGGCTGGCTGCCGTTACCATTTGCAGCGAGGCTGGCTGCGGTTACCATTTGCAGCGAGGCTGCGGTTACCATTTGCGCACGCACCGAAAATAACTAAATGTTGGACGGCAGCTGCGAATTATTTCCTTGGCCGTGATTTTATTTCCCGGCAATTTGCGCAGACGAGGGCCACGACGACGAGGACGAGGAGGAGGAGGAAGTCGATATTTTAACGGGAGAACATGTGGGGAGTAACGACGATATGTTCCGATCGAGGAGAGAAACCCCCCCCCCCGCCACCTCACCCGCTGTCTTGGCTGCGGTGGTGCGTCAGAAGCGACCGTCGCCGGATGTTATTTTCCGCGAGGAATAAAACCTCTCATGCTGCAGCCGATTTAATCACGTCAACTTGGAACGCTGGCACCACCGCTCCTAACATCATTGGCACCACTACTACCAGCACCGCTGGCAACACCGCTACCACCACCGTTGGCACCACCACTACCACCACCGTTGGCACCACCGCTACCACCACCGTTGGCACCACCGCTACCACCGCTCGCAACACCACCGCTGCCACCACCGCCGTTACCACCACCGCTACCACCACCGCTACCACCACCATTAGCAGCACCGCTACCACCACCACTACCACCACCACCACTACCACCACCACCACTACCAACACCGCTGCCACCACGATTGGCACCACCGCTACTACCACCTCTGCCACCACCACTACCACCACCACAACCACCACCTCTGCCACCACCGCTACCACCACCACCGCAACCACCACCTCTGCCACCACCGCCGCCACCACCACCACCACCTCTGCCACCAAGCGGGTGTGAGCTGGTGCCACCGATTCCCCAAGCTCTGTGGTTCTCTATGTATCGGGGCGTTATCGGACAATGAATGAGCGATGCGCAATGGCAGCGCCAGGGCTGTGCGTACGATCAGCACGAAGGTGGCGAGGGGTGGTGGTGACGGACACGCCTGGCCTGGTATTAATAGGCGCTCGCTAACTCGCAGCTAAACGGGCGGTCTTTGTATTTTTCACTTAAATCTTCGGAGAAAAGGAATTTCAGTTCTGGACTCACTCAACACCTCCGATCAAATAGTCAAGCAAGACGATCTTCCACGTGGTGTGAAAACAATGACGCAATGAATCAGTACACGCGGCCCTCTGGGAGTACGTAACTTCAGCAGCAATGGTTCCACACGCGGGCAAACGGAAAGCGCTTGACTTCAGTGAAAATTCATGCACGGAGTCACAGGGATTAAATTACAGTCGCGCGGATACGCCACATAGAGCCGAATTGTTATTTTACAACAACAACAACAACAACCGCCATTCGCCACTAAGTGGCGGTGACATCACCACGACGCTTGTGCCAGGCCATGTGCACTTTATTTTACACAGCCGACAACACAAACGTAGAGATTCTGCGTGAAATATTGATGCAGAGAAAAACACTAACTGTTCCCGTGCGTGCGTGCGTGCGCGCGTGTGTGTGCAGGCGTCCATGCGAGTGAGTGCATGTGTGTTTGTGAGTCTATCGACGAGAACAACAGAAACGCGGTCTGGCAGAATGTGCATTGTCTTTGAAACTGATTGGCCCACGCCAGAGACAGAAGACGGCTTTGTTTAGAGGCCTGGTCTCAAACAGCGTGAGCCCAGAGGCGTCTTCTGGTCGATGGGATCTCCCTTGCCAGTATCAAATGATCAGAACAGCTTTTACCCTTTCTGGCAATGCAACAGCTGTGTTAAGACGCTTAAGACACCAAACTGAAACCTTCTTGCAAGGAATCGCCGCGCTGCGTTAACCAGACACGACTACTTGCGGTGAACGTGCAAACAAACAAACACTAAAAACCATGCTCCGGTCGTGCATGATGCATCGTCTTTGAAACTGATTGGTCCACAGCAGAGACAGCTTTTCTTTAGAGCCTCGTCTCAAACAAATGTCCGCACCGCACCGCGTACGTGGCCGAGATGGACCTGAGAGAGGACCGACATTTGTTCCGGGTGACCGTGGCCAGGTGACCGTGG